ACTCTTCCATTCTGTTCACCAGTTCCCCAGAGAGCCAACCACCACGATCACTCCAGGTCCCACATGCCAGCTGACTGTGGTGACTCCTGACACAGGGTAAACAAAGCCTCAAGTGTGAGCATACTACTCACTTGCATTTACAAGTTTTAGATTACTGTTCCAACAGAAGCCATCTAGCCTTTTTAGTGCCATTTATGATACACAGTCTATGTCAGTCCCGTGCTTGTTGAAGGGTTATGGAGGGACCATGAAGATAAACCAAGACATGGTCCCTGCCCTCAAGTTACAGCTAAGTAGAAACCACTGATAGAGAAATACCTAAAATGCTCTAGTGCCGTAAGAAAGGTGTGAATAAAGAGCTAAGGAAAGACACGTGAGGAAGCAATTAATTCTTATTTACATGCAGAAGCAATTCTTCAGTCCTAGAGAGCAAAAGAGACATGTTGAAGTGGGGTTTTTACAGGACAGGCAGGAGTCTGCAAAGTAGACAGGGAATGGCAAGCCAACCCACGGCACGGGAAGAGTGTGAAGTGTGCAAGTACACCGTCAATGCCCCGCATGTCAAGGCAGAACAGACAGGGCTACTTAGGAAAGGCTGTGATGGCAGCGAGGACTGTGGAGGTTCTTCTACAGGTAATCAGGGTCCTCTACAAGAGTGTGTCAGATATGTGTCTGCAACATAATTCCAGGGGAACTGTGGAGACCTCTATGAATTTAGTAGAATTTACTAGCAACTGGGTAACCTGGGGGAGGGACTGTGTTACATAGTGCATACCCCATTTTCATATTATGATTGCCTTGTCTCTCTCTCTCTCTTCTATCTGGCCTCTTCTGCCCTGGAAAGTTCAGGTGTATAGACAATGATTCAATATCTGTAGATACTGCAAAATGTTCACCACATTCTAGTTACCATCCGTAACTACACAGTCATGGATTTTTTTCTTGTGGAGTATTTTGAGATCTATTCTCTTAGCAACTTTCAAAGAGACAATACAGGATTAACTAGTCACCATACTGTATATTACACCCAATGATGACATCTTATAACTAGAAGTTTATACCTTTTGACCTCCCTTTACCCATTTCACCCATCCCCAACCCCCAAACTCTGCCTCTGGCAAAACACCGATCTGTCCTCTGTATCTATGAGCTTGGTGGTTCTTGTTGTTGCTGTTGTTTTAAGATTCCATATATAAGTGAGATCCCATGGCATTTGTCCTCCTCAGTCTGACTTATTTCACTTAATGTAATGCTCTCAAGATCCATTCATGTCACAAAAGGCCAGATTTCATACTTTTTTATACCCGAATAATATTTCATTGTATATATACACCACATTTGCCTTATCCCTTCACCCATTAATTGAGACTTAGGTTGTTTCCATGTCTCGGCTATTGTAAATACTGCTGCAATAAACATGGAGGTGCGGATAGCTTTTCAAGTTAGTTTTTTCTTTTTCTTTTTTTTTTTTCAGATAAATACCCAAATGTGGAATTGTTAGATCATATGGTAGTCTCATTTTTAATTTTTTGAGGAACGTCTCCACTGTTTTCCATAGTGGCTGCACCAATCTACATTTCCACCAGCACTGCATGAGGGTTCCCTTTTTTCCACACCCTTGCCAACATCTGTTATCTCATCTTTTTGATAACAGCCATTCTAACAGGTACGAGGTGATACTTCATCGAGGTTCTGACCTGCGTTTCTTGGCTGAGCATCTTTTCGTGGGTCTGTTGACCATGTCTATGTCTTCTTTGGGAAAAAAAAAAATCTCTGTTCAGATTCTCTGTCCATGTTTTATTTTCTTTTGTTGCTGCTGAGATGTATCGGTTCTTTACAAATTTTGGTATTAACTCATTATAAGTTAAATGACTTTTATTTTCTCCCCTTCAGTAGCTTGCCTTTTCATTTTGTTGGAAACTTCCAACTTCTTAACCCGTTATTATGCAGAACAGCTTCTCTACTTCTCAGAAGTCTTGGCTCCGGCAACATTCGAGCCCACAGGGCTCACTTCTATGCTAAACAATTATCCAAGTATTTTTCTAAATAAAGACAGTTATTTTGTGAAGAGAAATTCTGGTACCAGCTGGTAAAGGTAATATAAATGTCTTTATCTGATCTCAGGCATCTACAACATCAGCAATACTCTACATACCTTACGTGTAATGGAAATTATCTGTGAAACATAATTATGCTTGAGAAACACAGGCAATATTACCAAATTTATTCCAACATTTCAACATCCGAGGTAAAATAATTGCAGGACACTGTGTTAAGCTTGTTTTAAAAAAGGTTTATTTGTTACAAAATGTTAAATACTAAAACTAAAAACATATAAATTCAGGTCAGGCTATATTAAAATACACACATACCCTTCTTAGCAAAATTATTAAAGATTGAATTAAACAGATGCTTTAAATAAAATAAAGTACTCTTGAGGAAATTTTGTTCTTCTAATTAAGTATGTCAATGTAGTGTTTTTAAAATTGGAATTGAAAAGTTTAGCTGTCTTGGAAGTTCCATTTATCCAACTGTTCGGTTTTCTGCCACTGCCCAGTGTGAAGCTGCCAGGCTCTCTGGACAGAGTGAATTTCACTTACATTACTGAAACTTCTATTTTATAAGCCTACTCTCTTATAATAGGAACAGAGAGCAGTCAGAAGTATACAAAGGGTTATATAAGGTGAAAACCTGGCCCAGAAAGAAGAGGCCTTAATTCTATCACACAGTATCTTCTCTAATTAAAATGTTTGGTAAATATATTGAAGCAGAGATGAACACAAAGCATACATTCATCTAGAAATAATCTTTCAATTAAAAAAAAAAAACTCAAAAAGAGCACTCATTTCTCCGAGAGAGTTTGTAAGTATTTCTAAATTTCTTGTTATTTTAAATTGAGTTAATTCAAAGGTACCGAAGAGTCTAGGTTTAAAAACTAATTTGATTACTTTCTGACTAGCTCTGAAAAGCCACGACATCAGGGTGGTGGAGTCACTCACACAGGTTGTAAAGGACTTTTCATAATAAAATCTACATGCTCAACCTCCATGGAGCCCCAGCTTTCAAATTCAACTTCCACTCCGATCAAACAACCTCAAAAGTATCTATGGTCTACGTAAATGTGAAATAGTATTTTCAAGCAAATACTTTATTTTGCCTTAGAACTTAATGTTTTTCAATTTCCTAGATCAAAAGTTACTGATTTAGAATTTTAAGTGCTGTAATTCACATAGGGGAAAGACTACCTTAAGAAGAACATAAGGCTATCACTGTGTTTTAAAAGATCTCAAATGTGATGAATTTCTAGAAATCTACTACAGTATTTATTCTTTACAATGTTTATCCTTATCAAATGGGAATTGCCAAGAGTTGATTAACTCAAGTGGTTAAAATACAAAAAACATAAAATGCATTCCGGTAACCTGCAGCAATACAATCTAATTAAAGTCAGGGTTCTTGGAAGATATATATAGGGTGTTTTTACTGTTGTACTCTAACAGTGTTGACATACATTCAAGGACTAACTGTATAGCAGTATGTTTAATACTGTGATATAAAACTAATCAAACCTTTGAATAGCTGGAAAAATTCGGTGTTCTTGAAAGTCATTAGAAATTAGAAGAAAAATATATCCCAGTACTGAATTACAGATGAAAATGATGTTAACAATAAACAGTAATCTGGTTTTCCATCTCTCAGCTTACAAGCTTCTGATGTAATTATTTTTGTTGACATGTGATACAAGAGAAACTATAATTCTATCCTAGTACCATTTTCTCTCTATGTACTGAGTCTTTGATTTATAACCTTTCTCTTAACTTACTGGGTTATCTTGAACGACAAGATTCCTGCTACTCCTCATTAAATAACTTTGCGGTCCTCAGAAAGAATTCAAACAATTCAAGCCGCTGGTCTCCTAAGCTTAGTAAGTACACGAAACAAAAAACTCTTAAGCCACTGATTACAATTTCTCTAGAAGGCAACTCTTCCTAGGAGCATCTTTATAAATGCGTTTTAAATTCACACTGGTCAGTTGCTTTTACCAACATCCAGGTTTTAGAATGAGCAAGAAAGCATTTCTTCCACTGTGACAGAGCCAGAACTGTGAGTGTTTTAAAGCTGAGTAAACACAAGGCATGTCTCCCTTGCCTGCTGAGGTGGCAGCAGAGAACCCCCCCCCTTGTAACCCTCCACTCCTGCAAGAGGTCCTCAAGGTTGGGAAACCCCTCGTGATCTCTTCCTTCCAGCAAGCCTCCTTCTGTTCCCTCCATGTCAGTGCCTCTTTTTTGCTTTCAGTGAGAATGGTGGTTAGCAAGAAAATATAGTACATATCCTGCTAGGAGACACACATAATTTGGGGAGCCCAGTATAAGGTGAAAATGCAGGGCCTTTCTTTAAACATTATTAAGAATTTCAAAATGGCAAGAGCAGAGCCTCGAACCAAGCATGGCGCCCTGTGTGACGACACAAGTTACACAACCTTAAAGCTAGCCCTGTTTAGGTTTCCTGCCCAATCAGAATCCCACAGAAGAGACAAGGTGGCTCAGTTCGGTAGTCCACATTATAAAAAAAAATTTTTTTTTTCATGATGGTTCGAACACTGTCACTGATTTGAAACCATGTGGCGTTTCACTTTCAAAATCCCATGCAAATTTCTATTCCTAAGATTTCAGATTGATCAGCTTTACCCTAGATTTTTTGTTATTGAAATAGTCATACTTGGTCTTTAAAATGCCCCTTATTTTAATAGAGCAATTTATCAGACATAGTGAACATTTTTAATTAATACTACATGATTTTGTTTTTAAGTTTCAACATTACTTAACTGGGAGGGGTATTAATATCACTAAAGCAACAGGGCATCTTAAAGGGAAAAAGAAGCTGTAGGACAGCTTTACATACTAGGATAGTGAAGCCTTGGTTTTAGCCTATGGTCTATTTTGTTCCCTTTTAAGATCACAGTAGTAGTTTTTTTTCAGAGAACTAACAAACACATTAAGCTGTATGGTAATTTTTTTTAACGCCCGTATTGGTTTCAGTCACAGAATTTTACTGGAACACAGAGGTATCCCATTCTTCTGCTTCATAATGATAGTAATAATAATAATAATAATAATAATAATAATAATAATAATAAAAAGCGTATGCATATAAAAGCTCCGGGTTACATTACTAAGCAACGACATTTCCGGGAGTGAATATACTTCCTGTATTCCGCAAGCTGCTTCAAGTACATATTCGAAGGCCATCTGTGCTTTTCAACAAAACTGCGTTCTTCCACTAAAATTTTTAGAAAAAGAATGTTAATTGCATATATTTTATTTTGGATCAAGTTTAGATATTAACTATTACTGATTTCCTATTTGATAGAGGAGATCTGTGCTCACCTATATATCCCCTACCTTTCCCTCAATGCTTTTGGTTAAATCAGTCATCAGGATTTAAATTATTACGTGATTTGCAACAATACACTGCTTCATCAAGTACTATGCATATTCTTTTGCTTTTTCCAAATGCTTTTTCCAAATCTCATTTGTCTTGGAGATGATAACAGACTTGTTTTTCATTTAGTTTTCTTTGTAGCCACCTTGCCCTCCCAAACTCTAAGGCCCTCTCAAGTCTATCTTCCACCCAGCCACAGTCACCGGGCAAGCTAACCACTCCTGAGGCAGCTGCTGGCCCCTTCTCCTCACAGCCCGGCACTCTCCGGCTTTCAAGGCCTGATTCCTGCCTCCGTGTTGGATCGCTCTGCTCTCAGACTCCAGCCCTTCACTCAGTTTGTTTTTCCCTTCTGGTGAAGCACTACCTTTATTAGCTCCCTGAAAAAAGGAGGGTAGGTCTGAAGTATTTTTGAGACCCTGCATGTGATGAAACATCTTTATCCTCCTCACACACGATTGATAATTTGGTTTGGTACAGAATTCTAGATGGAAAACTTTCCTCAGAATGTTGAAGACAGAATTCCTCTGCATTCTAGTTTTCAAGGTTATTAAACACTCCTCTACCATTCAGATTTATAGGTCTTGGCAAGTCATCTCTGTTCTTTTAAAACTTTCATATTTTTCTATTTATAGTTGGTGTTCTTGCACGTCTCAGGGATGGACTTTGTTCACTCATACCGCTGAGTGCCTAGCAGGTCCTTTCAGTCTTAAGACTCGGGTCCTTTAGGACTAGGATAATTTCTTGTATTACTTCCTTGATATTTTCCTCTTCACTGTTTTATTCTGCATTAACTTCTTTAACTCAGATACTTCATCTCCTGGATTGAGCCCCAAATTTATTAAAAAAACTTTCTCTCCTCTTAATCTTTTTGTCTCACTTTTTGGAAGATGTCCTCATCCTTATCTTTCAACTTTTATGTACTTGTTTAAACTCTTCTATTTATTTAGGGTTTTTTTTTTGTTGTTATTTTGTTGTTTTGTTGTTTTTGTTTTTTTGCTATCATGTTTGTAATTTCCAAGAACAACTTTTTTTTTGTCCTGTTTTCTACACTATGATAAAGCATACATAACATAAAATTTACTATCTTAGCAATTTTTAGGTATATAGTTCAGTATTGTCATGTACATTCACATTATGGTACAACCAATTTCCAGAACTCTTTCCATCTTGCAAAACTAAAACTCTATACCCATTAACAACTCCCCACTTCCCCATCCCCCCATCCCTGGCAACCATCATTCTACTGTCTTTGTGAATATTGTTTTTTTTTTAAATAACATTCTCTCCTGCTTTATGAATTGTATCTCTTATTCACTGACGATATTAACTTCAAGATTTTTAAAGGATTTTTTTCTATTCTTTGTTCCTCTAAATTCTTTCTCTTCTGTTTTATCAATTTTATTTTGGTTTTGGTATCTATCTTTCATGTTAGGTATTGCCTAAAATATCTGAAGATCCTCAGTTATATCCTTACGTTTGAGAGTGAGATACCAGATGGCTGTTTGGGTATCTTGTGGTCATGGGTAGGACTTACTGACTGTAGGAATAATTGAGAAGATATCTGTTGGGTCCACAGACAAAATTTCCAAATGACTGCACCTACATATTTTTTCTCCAGGGCCAGAGAAAGATGCTTCAATCTCATGCTCAGAGTGTGGGAGTCAAGGCAGCAATACCTGGTGCCAGAATTCTAGAACCTGGACACAGGAAGGAGGTTGGCGGCTTACTATACAATGTGTACACTTTTGCATGATCCCCATGTTTTCAGTTCAGCTTTTTTTTTTTCAAGACTTTATTTATTTGTCTGACAGAGAGACAGCAAGAGAGGGAACACAAGCACAGGGAGCTGGAGAGGGAGCAGTAGATTCCCCGCTGAGCAGGGAGCTTGATGTGGGACTTGATCCCAGGACTCTGGGATCATGACCTGAGCCGGACACATAATGACTGAGGCCCCCAGGTGCTCCTTCAGCTCAGCTCCTTAACCTAATCTTAGCTATACCTGGAGTTTGTGATTCTAGAATTCTTTTGGTTTAATTTCTCCAGGAATAAATCTCCCATCTCCAACAACGATGAAAGAGAAGGAGTTGCCTGCCCGAGTGGGATGGGGTGCAGCAAGTTCATAGTTCATAACTTTCTTCTTCTTTTTTAAAAAGATTTTAATAATCTTTAAAGTTTTTATTTATTTATTGTAGAGAAAGAGCACACACGAGCCAGGGGAGAGGGAGAGAATCTCAAGCAGACCCCATGCTGAGCGCAGAGCCCGACGCAGGGTTCAACACCAAGACCAAGACCTAGGCCAAGCCCCAGAGTCTGATGCTCAACTGACTGAGCCACCCAGGCACTCCCTTCTTCACATCTTTCAACCAGTTCTACTGCTTTCAGCCGCAAGCTTTATTCTGCTTTCTGAAATACCTGGTCCCTCACATTTCTAAGACGTCTTGGTACTCTGCTGAGTGAGTCAGCTTGCTTCTCATCAGCATTCCCTTCTGTGGGTACTTAGCTTTCCTTCTGCTAAGTCAGTTCCCACTTCCCCATCTATTGTGTGACCACATATATGATAATTTGGACTAATGAGGTCATGATCCAGGCTGCAGGACTTGGATAAAAAGAAATGACCTGCCAGCTCAGGGAAGTTAGCTGTAGGATTCATTAGTAAGCAAACGTGACATAAGACTACTCTCTTGGTTAAGATTTAAAAAAAGAGAGAGAAAAGTTATCACAGATGAGCTCTGGTGGCCAGCAAAAACCAAAACAAGACAAAAAACTCCACATATATAATATGTAACATAATATCAAGCTAAATTAAACTGTGAGAATATTGAATCCACAAATGCCAAGAGTAACTTATATTCCTATGCATTGCTGTTTGTGTTCAAAGAGTCCAACATATAAAACATACCTAACACTGAATGAGCTCTTCAACTGAGTTCTGCTCTATCAATGCCAGCATTAACACAACATCTTGTCTAGTCTCACTTTTCACTTCCCAAACACCTTTAAAGAAGAAGAATTCTCAGGCAAGAGAAAACTGTTCATAGAATTCCAACGATAACTTGGTAATTTTTGAAACCAAAGGTGGAAAATCATTGAAGGGAGCTGTAAACAGTGACAAGAACCCTTCCAACTTCAAGCAACCATGTGAGGCAGTTCAAGTGTGAAACAACAGGGAGGAGAGCTGACTAGAACCTTCGGCAGGACACGTGCTCCCGTAAATGGGCTGAGTTACTGCTTAGGTCCAGGTTGCTTCCACGTGGGAAGATGGGCCCAGGGCAGCCAGATCTTCCAACTTTTCCAAAGAAGCCAGAAATTTGATTTTTAAGATATGCCATGTTACAATTTTTAAATGGTGACACTAAAAATAGGTAATACCGTGTAGCCCAAATAAAACCCGTTGGCAGACTGTATTCAGTTCCTTTCAAACTCCAGATTCCTAGTTTGTGACCACTCAGTTAGACTATCTAACTCTTCCCTATCCACCAGGGGCTTTTATTCTCTGCCCCCAAGGACATATCACAGCAGGTCCTGAACATAAACAGGTACCAATTAAACTGCAACATTCAGAAGACGCTTCTAGTTCTCATCAAAGGAACAGATGACAATCAAGAACACAGTCTCATCTTCTTACCCTGCCTTCTCAAATTACACCCTGGAGTCCGGCTTCTCACTATGCCAGGTGGTCATAACACACTTTACAGTCAATTGTGTAAGTAATAAAATAAAATAAAATAAAAATTTATAACACAAAGGATTTACAGAGTACATTCTCCTAAGCTTGTACTAGTACTCCATGTGTAGCATTCATCTATACAAGACAGTAAATGGAAAATAATCTTATTTTTCTTTTACAAATGAAGGGAACCTAAGGCAGCATAACAAAGGTGGTTCTAAAATCACAATGTCCACTTGTTTCATTATGAATTGATTTCTTAAAAAATGACTGTATTAGAATGTCCCTACTAATGGCAAGAAGCATGCCTTCTCTTTATGAACGGAATTAGTTTCTTTCTTTCTTGCACAGAGCAGATGGTTTAGTAAATATCTTTATTCTGCTTTACTAAGTTTCTCTACTGCACTAATAAATAAGTTCTATTTAAGAAGGCTCTCAATAGGCATACGATCTTTGTCAACCAACTGAATATATCTGCCCAAAATAGACTGTTTCCTGGTTTCCTTATCTGTCTAAGAAGATGAAAGAAACCAGAGACTTTCAAATATTTTAGCAGCAGATTATCTTTTACAAGTAAAATTTTATGGAGAACAGCAGATAAAACAGAAGATAAAAACTACAGGCTAAAGGGCCAGGGGGTCTAAGAACTAGACTTCAGCCTTCTCTTCTTCCTTCCCTCCTCTTCCCTCAGCCTCTCCCTGCTCTCAGCCCCCCACCTCAGAAAACCTTCAGGTGTCTCTATGGACATCCCTGCTTAGAGTTTAAAACTACTTAACTAGGAGATTTTTTAAAAAATTATTTCCTGAGCCTATTCTAAGTAACATGAGCAAACCATCGTATCTAAACTGACCGTCTCCTCTGATGACTATTCGGTTCTCATTTTCTTTCTTCTTATGCAGCATTCAGGAGCTCACACTTTATGATTGGTTTTAATCTTCACAATTCGCCTTAAAGATCACATTATGTACACTCTCTGTTCAGTAAGTTTTGCAACATTTTCTGACCAATTAAACTGTTATTCCCGAGGAATATAATAGATTCCTATACAGATACGCTTAAATAAATGTACATATCAAAACAACTGAACTACATATTATAAATAATAAATGGCAGTTACAATTTCCTTCACAAGAAAAAATTTTAAATCTGTACTATTAAAATTCTGCTTCTGATTTAGGTAGTGAAAACCAAAATATTGTTTGTCACAATCAAATTCCACCTGAGGCTACCTTATCACTTTACTTCAGAAAACAAGGTACACTTAAAAATGGATGGGAGCTATAAAACAATCATTAGAAAGCTTCTTGTGTAACACAGGTCAAGCTATTTTTATAACCAGGTGACTGTAAGTTAAAGTGTCCTCAATTACCCCACTGTGTAGTTAAGAAGAGGAAGGTATTACACTGACTTTTTTTTTTTTTTTTACTTTTTGTTTTTTAACAACTACTATTCCTACAAACTACTTCTTAAACCTAAGAGCAAAGAACGAAGTTTTCTTTTCAAAACAGTAATTGGGAACCTACCTGAAAGATCCTGAAATTCAGGCTTTTGGCTGAAGATGAGGTAGTTAGTAGCAATGAAATGAAGCAGCCAGGTTGAAAGGCAATCCGAGTGGTGAAACTGCAAGAAAAATGGAAAGTGAAACAATATTGTATTAATAACCATGCAGACATCCAGACAATGAATAGGTGGAGAGAACGGTCTGGAAGGATTTGTGTAGAGCGGGACTCCATACTGACTGTGTCCACATGTGACGCAGCCTTCTGCCTACTCTGAGAGCAGAAAGGAAAAGGGAGATTATTTGCATGTAATAATAAAATTACATCAGGGAAGAGACAGGATCAAATGGATAACAAGCCACTGGTGCTAGAGCATCTCAATGTCTTGAACAGAGGCACACTGCATCAGTGGTTAAGAGACTCCTTGAGGTTCTTAAGGATTTCCTTTAAGCTTTTAATCTAAGGTCATGGCTGTCACTAATTGCACTTATGGCTGTGTAACAGAGATATGATTATGGTTAGCGAAGGTACATCCTTGGCCATATCTAAACAAGTTCACCCAAGGGGCAAACTGAAATATATTTTGTGAAGGAAATGTCATCAACCTAAGGGCATGGGTTTCAATGTAAACATACCTCTATGAGAAGGTTATGTCTGAGCAGTTGGTTTTATCTAGGATATAGTTAAGGGGATGCTTTTAACTAGGATGTAGTTATATGCTCTTATGGTGAGCCGGATTTCCAGCACATTTCTCATTCTGAATTTCAATAGCTAATGGAAGGGAAATTGAAAGCACTGTGGCCATGACATCCTCACCTTGGTGCCAGTTGTCCAGTGATGCTCACCGATCCATCTAACCTCTCAACTCAGACTACATAACGTGCTGGCAGGCCACTTTGATACATGAGTACAGTTCTTTTTTTTATTATTGTGGTTAAAATGCACAAAATATAAAATTTACCATTTTAACCTTCTTTAAGGGTACCAGTGGCGTTAAGTACATTCACATTATCATGCAACCATCACCACTATCTATTTCCAGAATGTTTTTATCATCCCAAACTGAAACTCTACACTCACTAAATAATAACTCCCCTTCTATCCCTTCCCCTAGTCCCTGATAGCCACTATTCTAGTTTTCTCTCTCTGAATTTGACTATTCTAGATACCTCACAGACCCTGACTTATATAATAGGTATGCTTATTCTGCCTGGTTTATCGTACTTAGAATAATGTCCTCAAGTACCATCCATGTTGCAGCACATATTACATCATTCCTTTTTTTTTTTTAAAGATTTTATTTATTTATTTATTTGACAGAGATCACAAGTAGGCAGAGAGGCAGGCAGAGAGAGAGGGGGAAGCAAGCTCCCCGCTGAGCAGAGAGCCAGATATGGGGCTCGATCCCACGACCCCGGGATCATGACCCGAGCTGAAGGCAGAGGCTTTAACCCACTGAGCCACCCAGGCGCCCCACATCATTCCTTTTTAAGACTGAGTAATATTCCACTGTATGTATATACCACATTTTATTTATCCATTCACCTGTTGATGGACATTTAGGTTGTCTGCACCTTTAAGCTAAATATACCTCTTTTAAGGAAACTCTAAAGTATTATATAAGAAATAATGCTAAATCGAAGAAAGATTTATATCTCAAATCTTAAAGAAGAAATTCACGTATTGCTCTTTTAAAAAGTTATAATGTGGGAATATTTTCACATGTTAAATCCACAGGTTCCTCTACTTTTCATTATACAAAATCAAAATTTTTGAATTGTAAGATACTTTATGGTTCATTGGATCCCACATCACGTTTTACCAATTTTTATTCGCCTTAACTTTAAGCAGATAAATGTGAGTGATCTCAAAGAGATAGAACAAGAATGTGTAGCTATTTTAACAGAAGCCACCAGCACGATCAGATGATTAACCCAAAGCAGATAACCTACAAAGAAAAGTTCAGGACATCACCTAAGGGCTGTGACTTTAAGGAAAAGGTCGATCACAGAAATGAATAGCTAGCTACAGAAACATGGTTAAAATGCAGAATTTTAGTTTTGACCAAGATTCAAGGTATCATAACTATCACACACAAGCACGAGTGGGGGAGCAGAGGAAGAGCTAGAGAGAATCTTAAGCAGACTCCCCATTGAGCATGAGCCCGAAGCTACTTGGGGGCTCAATCTCACAACTCCAAGATCACAACCTCAGCAGAAACCAAGAATTGGATGCTTATCTGACTGTGGCACCCAGGCGCCCCTGACAAAGCAGGTTTAAACAACAAAAATATGAAATACAAAAATGTAATACAAAATGTATTTTGTATGAAATACAAAAAAAAAGAAACAAAAAATGAAATAAACAACAAAACAAAAAAGAAAGGCTTTAAAAATACCATAAACACGGGGCGCCTGGGTGGCTCAGTGGGTTAAAGCCTCTGTCTTCGGTTCAGGTCGTGATCCCAGGGTCTTGGGATCGAGCCCCGCATCGGGCTCTCTGCTCAGCGGGGAGCCTGCTTCCTCCTCTCTCTGCCTGCCTCTCTGCCTACTTGTGATCTCTGTCAAATAAATAAATAAAATCTTAAAAAAAAAAACCATAAAAACAATGCATTTAACAGTTCTATAAAGAATAATAGTGGTGGAAAAAATACCCAGAAACTCACAAGGAAAAGATCAGAAAACTGGTAGCCTGTAGCAGCCAAGTATTAACGTACAGATTATAAAACATTGAGTTTTTATAAATAAGATATTGAGTTTGAAACTTTAATATGGTTAGCAGGACTTCAGAGGAATCACCAAAGTTTGGCCAGTTAGGACAGAAAAGGGAGGAGAGATAAGGAGATGTCTACCTGAGTTCAAAGGACTGAATCTGATTAAGGGAAAGAAGCTTCTCTTGCATGTTCAAAGTCCAACTTGGGGCTGGGTGGCTCAGTAGTTAAGTGTCTGGGATTAGCTCAGAACAGGATCCCAGGGTCCTGGGATCCAGCCCCTTATCCGCCTCCTGCTCAGCGGGAAGCCTGCTTCTCCCTCTCCCACTCCCCCTATTTGTGTTCCCTCTCTCACTGTGTCCTTCTCTGCCAAATAAAAGTCCAACTTGATGGAAATAGATGAACTTGAAGGTAGAATCATGATAAGGAATTGAGAAACATTAGGGGAAGGGAAAGGAGGAAGCAGAAGTGAGAGAATACCAAAGCGCTCCACTGTATCAAAAGTATGAAGGATGCTTTCCTGATAAACAATGAAAAACTAGCAGAGATGACAGTAGAGCCCCTGGAGATTTTGATTATTCAAAAAAACTACTCCAAGTCTAATTCTGCTAAAAGACAGTTTCACCTCCCAGAAGTCAGAGAAACAATGAAGGAAAAATTACCTAAATTCTGACCAACAGTATGAACTGGCTGGTGAACTAAAGCCTCAAAATAGGAACTTCCAAGAGAACTGGCAACGAAAATGATCCTGTTATCTTGGATTTGTAATTGTCAAATTGGGGACCACCAGGAAGGGAATAAAGAAAAACTGGTAATTGGAGGCTTAATCCTATAAATTAAAAAAGTCTTCAGAAACAAAAAAGTAAAATTCAAAAAGGTCTGGTATCTTAAAATTTTAAAATTAAAGAGAAATAAATAAGGATAATTACACAATCAGAAAGCACAGAGTCAGGGAAAACAGGTCAGGAAGAACCACTGACAACGCAATCATAAATGACACCAGTGAGGAGACCTGTACGCATGTGCACGCGTGCGACCTGAAACATCAATGCAACCGGACAGGAAGTTCTTGGGTACAGCTACTAAAAGGACACGATGAGATAAGGAAAGAGAAGCTTCTGATCATTTTTTTAAAGTATGACAGACTTGGTAGAATAGTATGGAAATGATACAACAAAAATGAACAGAGGCTGTAAAAAATACCAGAGAGAATGAAAAAGAAATTTTAAACTAAATCTAGAAGTTAGCTATTTATCCCAGGCTCACTGTAAATAAATTACAAAGAGAGATCAAAGTTACTCAGTTTTGTTTTGTTTTTTTTCTGGTTTTGTTTTGTTCTTGTAGCAAGAATTACTATCACACTGCACTCGCTGGGTCAGAGGCCCTTGTGGTGTTGGCAAAGGGCTTAGCCCTCGTGTGCACACTGCCTACACTTGTGAGCTCAATGGCCAGTCAGTGGCCCCAGCTCCAAGCTCCATCACTGTGCAGAAGGTTACTCAATTCTTTTAATTTGTTTTTAATCCTTAAAATTAAATATATAAGGTTTTAAGACTTGATTATGAAAGAAACAAACTCCAAAATAGTTAAGAAGACAGTAAGAGAAGACCTAGAGGCTTTAAATGAATTCCCTTCTTTGCCCAGAAATACACATTATTGATTTAGGAATTCATCTCAACGTGGAGGCAAGCTTTTAGCGGTCTGTCCTTTGCCACTTTATGTGGTTCCATTTCAGCAACTTGAAGACAGAGTTGTCCTATTTTTCTAATTTCTCTCCAAGTTGATAGGGATCACCAAATGCTGTATGACAGATAACATTTTATGAAGTCCTGATAGTCACCAATGATGGATCAAATATATTCCTGTAAAAAAGACCTAGAAGTTTCAGCTTACGGCAAGTTCAATATAGACCATTATATTCCATGACACCTGGAAGCCCTAAAACCGTCACAGGGCAGACGATGGAACAGTAGAATAACCAGGGGTAGGATGACACGTTTGAATAAACTTCCTGCCCCCCTTTAGTGGGAATGAGGAAATAACTGATTTTTGACTGGCACAACATCTGCAGGCTCCAGAAGACTTCAAGACTGCAAACCTACTTTACTTATAGATCAGCCCAGTCCTTTGTCAGATACAGATTCTAGGCTCTTTGTGACTGCAGTTCCTCACAATTTGCTTAACTATGCAAACTCTATTCCCTAGAATGTGGAGAAATCCAATTCTTAAAAATATAAATGCCCTAAGCTTAAAATAAGTCAGAAAGTGTGGTGTACTGTAGTGATTCTCAACTCTGCTTTTACTGAAGGTACATGAGACCCATCAACAAAAGGCATTTTGAGGGGCGCCTGGGTGGCTCAGTGGGTTAAGCCTCTGCCTTTGGCTCAGGTCATGGTCTCCGGGTCCTGGGATTGAGCCCCGCATTGGGCTCTCTGCTCAGCAGGGAGCCTGCTTCCCTTCCTCTCTCTCTCTCTCTCCCTGCCTCTCTGCCTCCTTGTGATCTCTGTCTGTCAAATAAATAAAATCTTTAAAAAAAAAAAAAAGGCATTTTGAAAGGATAAATGAAGTACACTGATACATCCTACAAACAACAGGGAACTCTAAAACACGTCCATGAAGTGAAAGATGAATGAATGAACACATAAATGAGTTTAGCCTAACTATCTCTGTCAATATGCATGGACCAGTTCTGTCATTTTTCTTTCATGAACCCTAAGATGGGAAAGCTCTGGGGAAATTCAACCTAAGTTCTATTTCCTACAATGCCGATATGGCACAATAAAGCACCACACTCAGATGAGACTAAAACGGGCTGCCATGCAGGTGAAAAATTTCCCATCAGCAAATTCTACCACCCTGGAAAACAGTGCTCAAACATCCGATGCTTCAAAATGATCCAATCCCAGAAACTACTGTGAGGGCCTTTTAACCTCATTTGGCCAAACTTCTAAACTGAGACAAACACGGATGTCTCTCTCAAGAAACAGAATCTTTTTTTTTGTTTTAATCCAGCAAGCAGATACAAAGGGGTGAGTACCTTGGCTTTTTTGAGCAGGTCGACGATATCCAGGTTCATAGACGCCAGCTCCCTGCTAGGCATGCTCTGCAGCTGTGTGATGATGAAGAGCTCACAGATGTGCTGCAGCCTGGACACCTGGTACATCTCAGCACAGATCAGAAGACACATAGCCTGGAAAATGCCAGCTGACGAGGAAGGGAAAGAAAAGAAGGTGGACAGTGAAGCCAGGCCACGAACTCACAACCCTGAAATCCAGAGTGGCGCGCTTTGCCATGGGAGCCCCTATCAGTAGTGCCCCTGTCGTGCCATTTTATTTTATTTTATTTTATTTTTTTTTAAAGATTTTATTTATTTATTTGACAGAGATCACAAGCAGGCCGAGAGGCAGGCAGAGAGAGAGGAGGAAGCAGGCTCCCCGCTGAGCAGAGAGCCCGATGTGGGGCTCGATCCCAGGACCCTGGGATCATGACCTGAGCCGAAGGCAGAGGCTTTAACCCACTGAGCCACCCAGGAGCCCCTGTCGTGCCATTTTAGAAAGAATTAATTCAGGCCTTCACACTCTAAAGTGACTCTTTTTGTTGTTGTTGCTTTTAAGTCTTCAGAGAAGGCAATTCTATGATTGCCCTTAAATAATCAGTCCTGAGGCTGTTACATAACTCTGTGCCAGCTAAACCAAATCCCTGCAAATCTTCCTTCTCTTTAGTCCCCAGGTTTGTTTTTTTGTTGTTGTTGTGGTAAAACAAACATGACATAAAATTTGTCACTAACCACTTTCAAGTATACGGTTCGGTGACATTAAGGCACACTCACATTGTGGTGCAACCATCGCCATCTTCCATCTCCAGAACTTTTTTCTTCTTCCCAAACTGAAACTCTATATCTGTTAAGCAATAACTCCCCATTTCCACCTTCTCTTAACCCCTGGTAATCGCTCAGGTTGTGTGTTTGTGTGTGTGTGTGTGTGTATGTGTGTGTGTGTGTGTGTGTGTAAACATGCCTAGAAGTGATTTGTAATCTTTTTCTAAGGTAATTCTTTTTCTAAGCCCTCCTAAAATTCCTTGCATTGTTTTTTTGTAGCCAGGAACCATGAACACTGTGTATGATCAATCCTTAACACACTGAATAGAACACCTTTCTGCGATTTCTGAGTGCAAACATTCTAATACTGATCTTCTTTCTGATTATTCCCTTTGACTCATTTTCTCCCCACACCTTTTACCAAATTTTAAAGGGCTCTGTCCTAGTTATTAGTGCTTCTCTGAGCATTTTTTTCTAATTAGCAAGAGAAAACCTAAAATTTGAAGCTTCAGTTACACTAGTGGGAGGACAACTGAGCAACTAAACTTTATTATTTTATGTCTGGCTCAAAATTTTTATTTAACATACCATACAGATTCACCAGTATTAAATATAAAATAAACAGTAACACACATTTTGATGAGAATCAATGCTTTCATTTTTATTAAGCACATATAATAAGCCAGTCTTTAACACTGACCATAACAACTCTAACTGGCTGCAAGACCAGAACTAGCTCCGTTAAAAAAAGAATTTTCTTTTTGAACTTCTAAAACCTTTCACTAGAGGGCTCCTGACTTGTTTAAAATTTAAGAGGTTTTAATGACAAAGATTGGAAATCTTCCTAATCTAAAAGTGAAAGTAATAAATCTGAAGAGAGGGATGGTCTGAAATGTGTGTTTTCTTTTTGCAGTTGCTAGAACACATTGCCAGGTTCTCTAATCAAGGCCTTGGGCTCCCTGACTGAGTAAACTTATTCTAGGTGTGTATGTGGTCGTTGTGTTTGCGGTGGGAGCCATCTAGTGGCCAGAAGATGAAGATGAATTCAAGGGGCTTCTGTGCAGGTGCCCAAGGCTCTAGGATGAAGAAAGGATTTCGCAATTTCTCCAAGGAGACCCCCAGCTAGGAAAAAACAAAAAAACAAAAAAACAAAAAAAACCCTGCAAGATCTGTTCCAACTTACAGCTACCAAAGATGATTAGTTTTTAGTCAAAGACAGCCCTAAGTCAGTGAATAGGGAAATAAATCTTACAGTCCGCTGGGCATCCTAAACATCTCAGGAAGTTTTTGGAGAAGTTAGTTTAAGGATAGTATAATTTTAGGAGTAGTCAGAAGAAGACTTTAAAAAACCCCACATTCTCTGAGCTACAGAGATGACCAAGGGGTCTCAGAATATTCAAAGTCCTTAAAAGAGCCTGAATCACAAGTTAGAGCCATAAAAGCAGCTGCTCAAACCTCTTCTCTTTATGAAAGGGATGTCCCAGTCTGTCAAATTAGTCACTGGGTACCACAAAACACCTCCATTTCCAGGGTGTCCATATAATCACCACACTTTGGGAGCTAGCTGGGATGTGAAAACTGACTGAAAATTATTTGTCATCCCAATATTACCTCACCTGACCAGCACATTCCATGATGTCAACTTTGATCAATCTTAAGCGAAAACAAATTTCATAGAAAGCAATGCATCAAAATGAGTAACAAGGAAAAGAAGTTGTGAGATATTCAGACTGCTCACCTGGGCAACAGGAGTCTGTGTATAGGTATTCTAAGAATGACAAGAAAGTTTCTTTGGAAACACCGTAAACTGGAATCAGAACACTCTTTGCTTCCATGTAGTTCCCATTAAACATGGCTGCCATCACTTCACAGCGGGCCACCAGGATAGCCCTGTGGGCTGGCACTGTTGTACCTGCAAGGTTCAAAAGTTACATAAGCTACATAAACTTGCAGAGCTGTTATTCTAACAATCTCCCTGTCAGTTAGTGGGGTATTGTATTAGGCACAGCTAAGCCTATGTCAGAAAGCAAAGTCTGGGGAGATAACCAGCATTAACCAGAAACTTTTTAGTTTTTAATTGGAAAAACAGAGAGTTCAAAAGTTGATTTGGAAACCAACAATTTATAAGACAGGCAATTATTTGTTACTCAGTTTATATTTTCTGAAGATAAAAACACTGAAATGAAATATTTTGCTTCCTGTTTTTATAATGAAACATGTATCCTTTGCAATTGGCTTGAAATACCATCACCCATTCTTATGCATGTACCTCCCAAGAAAACAGTGTCACTATCCTTCTTGGACACACTTAAAGAACAGGTCCTGGGCCCGCTTCCCCTTGTGAGAAAGAGGAAACTGCAGAATGTAAACTACCCCTTGGCCTAAGCAATCCATATGTTACAGCAAGCATGGCAAGGGACTCTTTTGCGGAGCCAGGAGGGGGTTTCAGATATGATGGAAAATTTGGAAGGGGATGACCTAGTCCCCAGATGTCTCTCCAGGGTATCACCTCCTCAGGGAACAGGGCTGCTTCTGGGAAAGCCAGAGCTACTTTAAATTTTAAAGGCCCCTCAGCCCATACCCTTCTCTGAAGCTCACCAAACTAAACTGACTCTCTACCACAAGTCTGCTGAGCTCTCTAGCTCCTGGGCCGTCCCACCAAAGCAGCACCAGATGGCACATGTGTGAGGAAGCAGTTCTCACCATTGCCAGCACCTAGGAAACCACAAATCCCCAGGGAGCCTTCAGTTCAGTCTACATCAGTTTGACACATCGTTACTGAGCACCCACCATGTGCTAATCACTATGTTATGCATTAAAGATACAAAGATGAAAAAGACAAACTCCACTGCTTGGGAGCAGTCAAGCTTTTAGTCTGGTGGAAGACACCACAGCCAATGTGAATGACGAAACCTTCCGAAGAGTAACTCTGTGAGTCAAATCACTCTGCTCCGCTCAAGAGTCCTCACCTATACATTCCTACAATCTCAGACCTCTCAGAAGCATAGATTCTATGCTACATGAAGTATTCTAAAATATTTTACAATGAGAGGCACCTGGGTGGCAGAATCAGTTAAGTGTCTGAGTCTTGGTTTTGTGCTCAGGTCGTGATCTCAGTGTCATGAAATCGAGCCCTCCACCGGTCTCTGCGCTCAGCATGGAGTCTGCTTAAAGGACTCTCTCCCCCTCTCTCCCCCTCTCCCTCTCTCTCCAATAAATCAATAAATCTTTTAAAAAAGTTTAAATAAATATTTACAATGATTGGATTCTTCAGCTTCTTTAATCCAAGCAAAATATCTTCTGATTCAAAAAAGAAAAGAAGAGTTCCACCTAAGCCTGGTGACTTCCTCCAAAGCCAGTAATCCCTTAGGATTCACTAACAAGGCCCAGCATTGCCAGCTCTGAGCTCAATGCTTAGAACTATGATTTGTACAAATGCACCTTCCAGAGGAGCAGGAAGAACAGACTACCTACAGTGAACAAAGCTGAGTCATCACACACCCGCTAGCAGGCATCATCCTCCCCCCTCTGGGCTCTTTCCCCTCTCTACGCTTCTGCCGTTGGGCCACCTGCTCTCAGTGGAGCAGGGTCCACTGAGGGGCATGACCAGTTTCCATGATTAAATATGCTGGTTATCTTTGTACACATCAGTTCACCAAGAATTCAAACAGATAATGCAACTGGGCTTGTAATTCTAAGGTTTTAACACCTGAAGTAGGACTATTGAAAAAATGAAAAGGAAAAGCAGAAGCATGGCTTAAACAAACTAGACAGCCTCTTGTTTGGGTTAAGCAGAGGAATTTTGGATTGACCCAAAATACCAAATGGACAGTAGATGGGGAAGGAATGTGATAAGTAACCTTGGAATTTTAACAGAAATTTTCCATTGATAACTCCATTGCAATGGAGTTACAAGACCAGCAAAGAAAACACCAGTACCTGAAAGCACTGTCAAACTTGATCAAGCTTTGCGTTTGTTTGGAAAACCATTATACCTCCAGTTCAGAAAATCACTGCTTCTGTTTCTCACCTTCGCCAACTACTGTTTGGCGTCATAAACTGTTCCATTACGAAGCCAGAATGCAGTATCTCAGTACAGTCACATTTTCAACACAGTATACATACTGTATATATAAATAAACTGATTCAAATATGCCAAATGAACACAATCCAGTGTTCTTATACCAACCAGCAATAAGATAAAGCTGAAGAATGAAAGGGGGGGGCATCAATTATCTACTTTAAAGATAAACATGTTCTTTGAAAATGTCAAGGCCTAAAGTATCTTTACTTTGTAAAATTCAACTGCTGTTACAGTTTTAGAAACTTTTTTTTTAAAAAGGAAAATGCTTAAGAATGAAATAGAACTTGAAAGCCCAAGTTTCCTAATAAAATCCTGTATTTGTCCTACCTTCTTTAATTAATTTTCCAGGTTTCAAAGATGGAATTTTTAGCATTTTTGTTTTGTTTTATTCTTATATAACAGGAAAGTTGCCTAGTTCAAGAGAGATTTAGAATCTGTACCATCAAGTCTTTATATATACTCTTACATGCACCGTCCCTATCCTCATGACCAGTCTACCAGGTAGAAATCAGCATCCCCGTGTTACAGGCAAAAAGACCAAGGATCGGGAAGGTCAAGTAGCACAGCCACACCAGTACGGTATATCTGTACCCACACAAGAGCCCAACTGGGTCTTTCTAGTCCTGGTCACTACCACCTCAGCAAACTTAACACTAAAAATGACCTTTTAGGGGTGCCTGGGTGGCTCAGCGGGTTAAAGCCTCTGCCTTCGGCTCAGGTCATGATCCCAGGGTCCTGGGATCGAGTCCCGCATCGGGCCCTCTGCTCAGCAGGGAGCCTGCTTCCTCCTCTCTCTCTGCCTTCCTCTCTGCCTACTTGTGATCTCTGTCTGTCAAATAAATAAATAAAATCTTTAAAAAAAAAAAAAAATGACCTTTTAGAAGCTATCAGGTTCACCTTCTTCACTCCGGAAATGAGAAGACTTCATCAAGGGAGTCGCATTAAGTGACAGGTCTAATGACACATGTGGTTGGAAGGCAAAGCCAAGGCTAATGCCAGGTTGCATTAGCGAGCCTCCACAGCAAGCCTCCGGAGGAGACAACAGTGCTCCCTTCTGCACACTAGAGCTCCCTCCCCAAACTCCAGAAGCTGGGCTCGCCTCTCTGCCCACACTTGGCAGAGAAGCTGCTGCTAGACCCGGCTTCCACCCCTGCCGGCTCGTCTCAGCTCGGATGTTGGAAGGCCTTGGTTTCTGAGCTGAGGGGGCTACAAAGAGCAGCACAGCAGCTGAACGTCCGCACATCCCCCAAACAGCCCGCGCATGCCCAGCCTCCGCACAGCTCGGGAACACGGGCAGGTGTCCACAGAAGAGCTGGCAGGTGAGATTGTGAGAGGAAAGTACGAGATTATAAGGAGAAATAACTCTCCACATCACTGGTTATTTCTTGGCTCTCAACATATATTTTCGTATGTGGCATATTCCTTATGAAAAGCTTTTCAGTAGGTTACACTAGCTTGATGTTTGGTGTGAAGGCCTCCTATGCAAATTATAACCAAATATAGGCTCTTGTAGCTTTCTCTTCCCCCCTCCCATCACTTTTTATGTGTTTCAAGGTCACTCTTATTGTCCCATTCTCAGTGTCTCATGCTACATTTCAAACAGTGCTGACTGGAGCTTATCAGAGGGCACCTGGGAAGTTTCCAATTCACTATTTGTTTTGGCAAATGGCCAAAGTTAAAATGAACCTTTCTGAGGAAAATTTTAAAAAGCAAACGACTGTTAGCTGCCATACATTTCTATCATAAAACTATAATTTTATCTTGCTTCTAGTAATAGCCTACTTGAAATTCTACTTAATACATGTGGAAACAACTCCTAGCCTTCTTGCATAGTTGCAAGGTACCAGACAATTCACTTGTAAGATTATGCTTTCAATCTACTGAAGTGGCAAAATTACCCAAGCGAATAATCAATAATGGGCATTAAAACAGCTTATCATTATTAAAATTAGGTAGCATTACTTTCCTACAGAGATAAAAAGTGGCTCTCAGTTGCTCTGGTGATAATTCTCAGAGTGCCGTGAGGAATAAATGTAAAAATACCTACCCAGGCCTAATGTGAGCCAGGCATGACCCTCAATGCATGCTTAATTCCTTTTGCTCAAACAGAAAGAAGAGAACTGTATGAGTTACAGGTAATAAAATGTGAAGGGGGCTGGTTTCAGATGATTCAACAACTAGTATCTTAAGGAAATACACAGACAAAAGTACACAATGAGGTGATATTATAGATCATTCCATTCCACACTGGTCCCTAAAAACTAATGAAGCATATGGTTAGGGGGGAGAAAACTAGGAAAATATAAACTGCTTTCCTAGTCTTAAAAAAATACTTCATTTCCCTAGATTTTGCTGAGGGTCAGCCAGTCATCTATATCCTGCATTAGAGAATAGTATTTTCTTCACCCAAAATATTCAAAGCTGAAATAGAAAGTTAGGTAAGAAAATAAGAAAGAAAAATGAGTATTGAACTTCGTAAAAATTGTACCATACCTTGTATTTCGAAGACAACATCAGCAAGCATTGGTTTATTAAGGAAAAACTTGAGGGAAGTGTTATAAAACCACAGAGGTTTTCTGGCTTGGTAAGTTTTGCAATTCCTTAGACAATTAATCTATAACGGAAAACAAAAATACAAGAGGAAATGTACAATACGCTCTGGTAATAAATATATAGGTTGGTTAGAGAATTTGGAAAATGGCACTAAACGTCAAAAGAAATAATGAGTCCCTCCTCCATAGCACCTGTGCTCATAGCTGCCGTGGGAACTTGTCCTCAAGAATGACACGCGCTACACGAGAAGCAGCAGCACAGCTCTCTGTCACATTCTCAGCAGTGAGCGAACTAAGGGCAAACTCAGCTCTCTGGCTGAGAAACGCAGGGTTCTGAATCCACGTACGTGCCCGTTAGCTGGGAAGCAGACAACGGTCAACCTCAAAGGAATGCCTGGTAACATATGTTCACATATACAACCTGTTAGTGTGTTCGCTAACTAGAAAGGTACACACACACAAATTGAATCTGTCATTTAAAAAAAAACATGCATTTCCGTCCAGCACATCATGTCCTACTACTTACTAGATGAACATTAAAATACTGGAGAGTGATGAATTGATTCATCTCCATCTTAATGTACAGTCTTACAATCCTACCCACAGCTGGGATTCCTGGAATCAATCAATGGTTGCCTGGATCTCCACTCCAGCATTCCAGACCACACCTATCTGTGCTCGCACACCTGCTCACTCTAGGGGGTGGCCTCCCGTAATAGTGCCTAATAGTGCCTCTGTCCGACTCAGCGGTCTCCAGCCCCTACTACATCTCACTTCAGCTTTGGGGCTTTGTTTATCCTTCCTGTGATCTTTCAGACATTCCTTTGTTCCAGCCCCAGAATTCAAGAGCCAGCCCCTCTTCCCTCACCCTCCGGTTTCCTTAGATGAATCTCAGGACTTCTGCCTGCATCAGCACTCTAACCTCTACTTGGCTATCCAGGGAATATGGAAAGCTTCATCCCCCCAAAATAATCAAGCATACAACTGCACCAGTAAGAATAAACGGCACCTACTCTCCACTCGGAATTAAGGCACTCTGGTGGGAAATTAGAATCTTTGGTAAGAGGGAAACAAAATATGATCCTTCCTCACGAGGAAGAAGAAAACACACTCCAGAATGATTTTCATGAGCAAGGCAGAGAAGCAAAACAGGGTCACACAAATCCTGCTCCTATAAAGCACGTTCTCAGATCCTGTACACAACCTCCCTTAACACATGTTAGACGAACTGGTGGAGAGGATTCAGGTGAATGCCACATGCAAAGCAGAGCAAGTAAAAAAGCAGCACATAGGGGCGCCTGGGTGGCTCAGTGGGTTAAAGCCTCTGCCTTCGGCTCAGGTCATGATCCCAGGGTCCTGGGATCAAGCCCCACATCGGGCTCTCTGCTCAGCGGGGAGCCTGCTTTCTCTATCTCTCTGCCTGCCTCTCTGCCTACTTGTGATCTCTGTCTGTCAAATAAATAAAATCTTTAAAAAAAAAAAAGGCAGCACATAATCTGAGAACCAGCAAGGGCTTTAGAAATCATCATCTCTGCCTCATTTTACAGAAAGTCCTGAGGAGACTTGCTCAGAGCCAAGAATAATTCGTGGACAACTCACAATTCAAATGCACATTTCCTCATTCCTAACTTGGGCCTACAGCTCAATGCTGTACTCCGTGAATGAGAGAGACTTTACCCCAGGAAAGCAAAGGAAGAACGTGCAGAATTCATCTCTCCTCCTGTACAAAGGAGGTAATTTAGTTCAGTATCACAGAATCGCAGAACCTCCAGCCTCTTTCCCAAGAATTCATTTTTTTCTCAGTACTCAAAGGAATGACCATTTAAAATCACACTCAAGGAAAGGCGCAGATTTAGAACAAAAAGCAACACTTCGGTCCTCACCATTCACATAAAGGTTATAAATTTGTATATCATGAATACTATGTAGATTTATATTATTCATGAATAGATAGATCGATCGACCATGAATCCTTTGTCACCTATGCCTTGAATTTGAATGCAAAAAAGATAGGAAGATAGTAGTTTGGACACAACACTGATATACGTGTTATACATTTTCACTGGTCTATACACAAGTAATCTAGAGAACTTTTGGCAAATAGAATGCAGGTTTATGTTCACAATTCTATGAAAGCATTATTTAGTTGAATTAGACTGCTAAGAGAGAGCTACTACTCTGCCATCCCCTGGAAAACTGGACAGTTCTGTGTGGCTGCTTCTGTGTGTGATGGAGATGAGAAAAGGCTTGCCCCTTAATTCCATATTACTCTGTTTACATTTTTTTTCTCAAATAAGTCAGAAATCTTCATTAAAAGCTAGTACAGTTTTAAAATATTAACTTAAAAATATTAACTTAAAAAGTCTTAGGTTGTAGAATTGACAAAGTCACCCATATAAAATAACTAAAGGAATAATAATTTCTCTTACATTTAACATAAGTCTATTTTCTGCTAGGCACTGTACATAGCTTACCTTTTTGTCGACTATAGCCAATCTGTTTAGCACAGAATCTGAAATAAGAATACACCGGCTCAACTGTGTAATGTACTTGTCTCTAAAACTAACAAATGTATTTTTAAAGCCCTTACAGACTGGACAGTCTAAGGGACTAGAGTTTTAATATGCACACATTTTGGACTGTATACAAAGTCTGTATTTTATAACCTTTGACCTTGTTTATAATTTTAAACCTACAAAAGATGAGAAATCCTTAACTGTCCACCTGATCAAACGGACTTTTCAGGAATCTTGAAAAAGGTACGCAGAGAAACTGCCTTGCTCCTAAAAACTACTTGGACTTAAATTTGGAGAAGTGAGAAAGCGTCCCCTTTAACAAGCTTAACTGGAAATGGACAGATTCAACAGCCCTTCATTCCTCACATAGATTGCATATTCCTGGAGCTCTACGGGAATGTTTCGGAGGATGGAATTCACAAACCAACATTTTAAAGACATGACTCACACATATTTCAATTCTTACATGAATTAAAATCTGAGGTAGTGAGAAATACATGTTTGTGTTTAAAATATTCAAATGGCAGAAACAGACTCAAGAAAAACACATTTCTATACTGTTGACTCTTCTCATGACTCAGTATTATCATTTTACTATCGTATATTTGTTAAAATTCAGAGAACATCAAGGTAAACTGATTTTCAATAAAGGAATTTACCTTTCCTGGTGTTTTTAAAATGCATTTAACTTTCTCAATTACACTTGAAACATCTCCAGAATCTTTCACTTTCTTTCTGATGTCGTCTTCCAATTCTTCCCACTGAAAAGCACCTGTAAACAAATTAATATATGTTGGATTTTTATGTTAAAACAGGAAGTACTAAAATAAATATCTTATTACTGTTCATTCTTTTATTATTTTCTTTTTTCCTTACCAAACACATATCCTTGTAATTACACTAAAACATTTAAACAGTTCTCACATTTAAAAAAAATCAGTTTGCCTTCCCCTAATGTACTTCTTGAAACCTGAAGTCTGCCTCCCTGGCCAGCTGCCACCTCTTTATAATAGATGGTCATCTAAAAATGACAGCAACAGCCAGAATATAAGTTGCCATCACTAGCAGTCCTTCCCACACTCAAAGTATTTATTTGCCCTGGGTAAGAAGGCAGATGTGGCTTTTCCAAATTAAATTAAATCATACTAATCAAGGAAGGCAGCAACAAACATCAGGTAGAAGAATGAGCAGCAGGAACAGAATGCATTCAGAAGATCTCATGCATTGCCAGGGTCGGATAAGGATGTTCAACAGCTCTACAGACCCAACCTGAAGAAGGGAGGTATATTGTCCTGATGAACTATGTGACCATAGCACTGGAGGGAAATCATAGCACCTGGTCCCTTTCTTCCTTTGTCCTCACCCAACCCACTTCCTTCCAAGCTATCTCTTCTTAGGCTCATTTTACGCCTGTCTACACTGTCAGCCCCAGTCCTCTGTGTCTTACAAAACTGTTTGAAGGTCAGCAGAAGTTCTCCTTTCTCCAGGCACTTCTCTCACTTGGTTTACAGCAGTCTCGTATACAGCCTACCTGCTGCTCAGCGGCCCTCTCCTCACTGAATCAATCCCAAAACTTAATGCCGATAAGTTTCCAAAAGTACGATTCTGATGATGATATTTGAAGAGACGATCCCTATCTAGCCCATGGCTTACACAAAGTCCTAACTCCTAAAAATAAAATTAACCAAGGTGTAATGTGGGCAGGCATAATTGAGAGACCTAAGCTGTAGTTCTACCTCTTCCATTAATTGCTAATGTGACTTGGAACAAATCATCTCACCTCTATGTCACTCAAGATCCTTTTTAATCTCTCAATCTGTTTCTTCTGATGTCCCACTTTCTGTATCCAGAGCTTTGCCAGATGCCTTCATGGACATCAGGGATGGGGAGAGCTCATAATAAACGTTTACTGAACCAATGATATCAGACAATTGCAGCCAGCCTGAGCCAACCGGATCCAAAGCTACTCTGAAGAGTCACGTGATAGTCAAGCCCTGTAGTACTGGGTACTCTAGAGTATCTTTGAACTTCTCCTTACCTAACCTTCATGATTAGTACAGTGTATGTTGAGGAGTGGGGGAAGGGGAAGGAGAGCCCTGATCTGGGCCATTTGCTACCTCGGTGGTGCACATACTCACACCATGGCCACATTCAGGCCTCTGAAGGGACATCACAGAGCATGGAGCTGGGAAGAGATAAACACAATCGGCTCTCACAAGGTGGTGCCTCCAGCTTCAGCAACCCACTGTTTCTTCCTACCTTTCATGCTCTTTTTCTGACTTCACTGTTAACTCCTCTTCCTCCTCAAATTCCCAAAGGTTTGCAGTCTAGAAATGTCTGGATTTTTTTTTTTCTTTTAGCACTAAAGATTTTTAACTTTAAGGTCCCACACTCTTTGTACAATCTGATAAATTCTTTGCATCATCTCTCCAGGAAATTTCCCATACACACACACACATTACAGTCTACATTAAAATGTCAGAAGTGAAGGAACCCCTAAGAAACCGACAGAACCCAGACCAAAAGAATTTATGCCAGTGGTTCTCAACTATAGCCGTGCATTTCATTACATTTACCTGGACATCTTTCATAAAACACCATCAAGGAAGTATCAGTCCCAGGCCAATTAAATTAGAATTTCTGGGGATGGAGTAAAAGCCTCCCAAGTGATTTTAAGTGTTGATCAGCACTGAGTGTTGATCATCACTGTTCTTCTTCCAGACATTTCACCCCTGATCGAAACCCAGGATCAGTGGTATGCAGCAAACAGTAGGTATATTTTGATCATCTACACTTACACAGGCTAAAGGAGAACAGATACTATCTGTTAAAAATAAACTGTATTAACTAACGAATACCTACACAATATCTCCATTCAGAATATTATTTGAGAGAAAGCAAGAATTAAGTCGAAGTACATGGGATGAACAGCAGGTAAATCCTTACAGGCCATTCATTGACTGAGAACAGACACAGAAGGATCCAATAACTAAAGATGAAAGTAAGAATAGTTCATAGAGTGCTCTAAGGATTGGGCTGTTCATAGAATTAGAAATGCTAACCAAGTTGTGAAAACATTTAACATGTGGGGCGCCTGCATGGCTCAGTTGGCTAAGTGTCCAACTCTTGATTTCAGCTCAGGTCATGATCTCAGGGACCTGGGATTGAGCCCCCGTCAGGTTCTGTGCTCAGTGTGGTGTCTGCTTGTGGATTCTTTCTCTCTCTCCCTCCACTCCTCCTCTCACTTGCTCTCTCTCTCTTTCTCCCTCCTTCTAAAATAAATAAATAAATCCTTAAAAAAAAAAAAGAACATGTAACATGTGATCTATCTTTTTGGCAGAATTTTAGGTGTATATTACAGTACTGTTAACAATAGCCATGATACCATACAGATCTCTAGAACTTCTCTTGCATAACTGACTGGGATTTTCTCTTCAGTTAACGTCTCAGAGCACTGACGGAGTTGACTGAGGTTCTTAGGGAGCATGGTGTACTCATGCACACAAGCTGTGCTTTTAGGCAGAGTGGAAAAGAGCATACCACAGAATAATTCCAAGAGCCGGAAGATATGAGGCAAGCTGAAGAGGAAAGCTCCTTTCCACATGTTCGTTTACTCTGGCGGCATTTCAATAAGCGATGTGAAACTCTAAGGGCCATCTGTGGTATGAAGAGCTCAAAGCAAAATTCTTGAGGCTCTGACATACATTTCAATTCCTAACCATCTGAAACTGTGTGTGTCAGGAATTTGCAAGCATAAGGACTATCGAGTATTGTAAGAATGTCACAACTGTATGCCAATAAAGGATGACTCAATGGAGACCCAGAACCTGCTGGCCTCACTCCTTCTCTCTGAGTAACAGACTTTCAGTACTTACACAGTCTACAGTGTTAGCTGTTACCCATGAGAAAAGTAACATACACAAAACACATACTTTTACTGTGTCTATTTATTTAGGAATTTGCATTGGAGAATATATCGAAGCTTTATGTTAACTATACCATTATCCAGACCCTTCCTAAATACAGGACCCAAATGTCCATGGTGACACAATATATCCAAAATTTGAAATTCCTAAAAATTAAAAAGAAGTATGCTATTTAGAGGAAATTAAGACATTCTTTGTAATTTGGTTTTAAATAAAAAAGCAGGAGATAGACTGAAAACGGTTTTTCAGTCTACGTTTGCTCAGGGCAAATATTCCTGAGCATGCTGTGTTGTGGACTTCTACCTCTGCGTAGACCCAAAAGATGCCAGTACAAACAGCCCCTGTCTTCATTGCCCCCTAACATAATCTGTGGGTAAGCCAGGGCTTCTGTGAGGAAAGCTCTGCATAACTGGGTCTTAAAACTTGTGCTTGGTTCAAAAGTTTTAAAGTGCTCAACAACAGCAAAAAAAAAAGCAAAACAAAAAATTCCATAAGCCTGTCCCCTGTCCTCTTCACTGAAGTCTGTGTGTGTGTGTGTGTGTGCATACACACACATAATTATATAAGCATATATGTAATAATTGTTTAATATATATCTGTAAATCTGTATTTACATATATATGTTTAAAACCTTTCTTTAATTTGATAAAAAACATTTTCTTTTTTTATTTATTGAGAAAGAGAGCATGAGCAGCGGTGAGAGGTAGAGAGAGAGAGGGAGAAGCAGACTCCCTGCTGAGGAGGGAGCCCAACATGGGGCTCCATTCCAGGACCCCAGACTATTACCTGAGCCAAAGGCAGATGTGAAACAGACTGAGCCACCCAGGTGCCCCCGATAAAAAAGTATTTTCTAAATAAATGGTAACCCTAAGCACAAAGACTAGAGGATAAAACATGGGGCACCTGGATGGCTAAGTGGGTTGAGCCTCTGACTTCAGCTCAGGTCATGATCTCAGGGTCCTGGGATCGAGTCCCGCATTGGGCTCTCTGCTTGGCAGGGAGCCTGCTTTCTCCTCTCTCTCTCTCTGCCTGCCTATCTACCTACTTGTGATCTCTCTCTGTCAAATAAATAAATAAAATCTTAAAAAAAAAAAAGACTAGAGGATAAAACAAAACATCAGTAAGTGTTTCAACATTTGAGGGTAGGAATTGGGTTGATTTTTTTTCTCTTAACAATTTTTCTCAATTTTTTCAAAATTGTCTTTACTGTACAAATACAGCTTTAGTATCTTTTTAAACATTGTTTTAAAAAATATTTTATTTATTTATTTATTTGACAGAGAAATCTCAAGTAGACAGAGAGGCAGGCAGAGGGGGAGGGTGAAGCAGGCCCCCCACTAAGCAGAGAGCCCAATGCAGGGCTCGATCTCAGGACCCTGAGATCTTGACCTTAGCTGAAGGCAGAGGCTTAACCCACTGAGCCAGAGCCACCCAGGTGCCCCATAAACATTATTTAAATGCAATATAACTTTTGTTTGAGCCCGAGGTTATACTTTATAAATGCAGAGTAACAGGTACTTGCTGAAGCATTTCATTTCCCTTCTCTTCAAAGCATCAGGGTCTCCCTGCAGCCCCAGGTCAATGGCCTGTGGCCCAGCCCTTACCTGACACCACCTCTTCTCTGGGTCTTGACATACAAGGAGAGAAAGAACAGCAGAAATGTAGCAGCTCAGTGTCAGGTTAGGAAGCCTGTGCTCTGAGCTGGTCAAGGGCTTGGAGCAAGCTCTGCATGCCATGATGTACCTCTGCCTCCCACTGCTCTTCCCAGGCTCACTTCGTTTCACCCAGCCACAGAGCATCTCCCGCCCCACCCTCTGGCAGAGGCTACCCCGGAGCACCACCGACTGCTCCAGGTCCGAAGAGCTCACATCAGTCAGTCTTGCAGCTGACCCCATTTTGACTTTGTGCCCTAGGACTGGTAGACTGGGTTCTTCCCCGGGCCTCTGGACTGAATGCCAGGCTCTTATCCCCCTGGCCATGGCTGGCGTGTGGTTCTTCCGAGAGCAGGTGGTGCAGCTGCGTGTAGTCCCGAGCAGCAGCCTGACATGGGAGACTGCGGGAAATGCAGACTCTCAGGCCTCACCCCTGGGCCTACTGAATCAGAATCTGCACTTGAGAGGCACCTGGGTGCCTCAGTTAGTTAAGTGTCTGCCTTCAGCTCAAGTCATGATCCCAGGAGCCTGGCACTGGGCTCCCTGCTCAACGGGGCATGTGTTTCTCCCTGTGCCCCTCCCCCTGCTTGTGCTCCTCCTCCCTCCCTCTCACTCTCAGATAAATAAATCAAATTAAAAAAAAAAAAAAATCTGCACATGAACAAGATCCCCAGATGACTTGCATGCACATTGAGTTTGAGAAACACTGGTCCAAATGATGGACAAGCTGTAGCACCAGCCACCTGTTGTCAGAATAATGGCCTTTGGCTGATCTCCAGAGTAATGCAGCTTCCTTATTAAACTCTGTCTTGCCTGCTCTATTCCGTCCCTCTCTATCACCAAAGATGAGCATGCCAAAGCCCAGTCTATCATGCTCAACATTCTGGAACAGCTTTTATGAGCAGCTTCCATATGGCTTGCCAGCCTCATCTCCTGCAAGCCTTCACCTCCCACTCTATGCTCCAGCCAGTTCCCAGAAAACAACACTTACTAAAGATTACATTTTCCTTAATGTATATTTCCCAATAAATTTATTTCTTTCAAATAGTATTAGGGCCAACACATAAGGGGGCTGAGGAAGGAACTTTATTTTTCTTTGCCCTTTTCTTCCATCTGCATATATTAATTTTGCAATTTAAAAGATCACTCCCTATGAGAAAGACAAGTAGGTTCTGTCATTGGAGATACAGCTAGCTATTACTGCTACCTTATTAAAGAGGATATAACTGATCTCAAAGTGTTCATGTGTCTTTGAAAGTATTCGAAAGATATAGTCGTAAACTTACTGAATAACTCATAATTTCAACAGTAACATCACTAAAAAGAAAAGTCTAACATTTCCTGTATAGTTCTCTAAACATCATTAAAGACATTTTTTTAACATGTAAATATTTTTGTTTTTCAGATCTAGCCTTAAATTGTAAACTGTGAGGTTCAAAGTTTAAACATAAAAATCTGTAGTAGTAAATGAAGTGTTTAGTCTGCTTTATTCATATGATGATTCACAGCTACTGGAGTCTACTCACTAATTCAACCAACACAAAACCTGCCATGCTGAATGCACTGTGTTGGAGTGCTCTGTGGGAGTGGTTATTTATGCCTTCCCCAAGCCAATATTCACTGAATAATGGGTTTAAGGCCTACCACTACCGTTCTACTTCTGTATGTGTATTTTTATAGAGAGATGTTTTTAAAACTTTTTAAAAGTAATCTCTACACCCAACCTGGGGCTTGAACTCATGACCCCGAGATCAGGAGGCACATGCTCTACTGACTGAGGCAGCCAGGCACCCATATATATATATGTGTGTGTGTGTGTGTATATATAGATACATATATATCTATATATACACACACACATACATTTCAATCCACTTAAATCTTCATATTGCAACTGTACTTTTCAAAAACTTTAAATTTTACTTTAACTTATAGTAAAATTATATAACCACAGCCCAAATGAGAAAAAGTAAAATCTTAATTTCAATTATTTCAACTATCCAAAAGTTTCTTATAAATATGAAACAGTGCTTTATCTGCAAACCTTTGTAAACTTGTCTGTCCCCCATTCTGAAGTCTAAAAGCAGATTATAATGTTTCTCCAGAGCCACACTCCAGGGGAGTTACTTTAACTTAATATTTCATCAGAACATGATTCCAAGTGCAAAATTAAAGAAGAGAGACGTCCTCGGAAAATTTTTACTTAGATGCCTACTTTAAAAGTCACTTACATTAATTCTTTTCCATTCTTATATGGGACACTTATATGTGACACCCTCAATTCACTGGCTAAATGACTCAGATAAAATCTTTATTTTTTAAAATGTAGTAGCTATAAGTATTTAAAAGGGCAACAAGAAAAATAATTGGGAAGCTCTATGTTAAAAAGATAAGTGCACGGTAAAAAAAAATAGTAAAATCTAAAATAGTCAAAGTCAGGGTGCCTGGCTGACTCAGTTAGTGGAGCGTGTGACTCTTGATCTTGGGGTTGTGGGTTCAAGCCCCACACTGAGTGTAGAGATTACTTAAAAATAAAATCTTAAAAACAAAATAGGGGCGCCTGGGTGGCTCAGTGGGTTAAAGCCTCTGCCTTCAGCTCAGATCATGATTCCAGGGTCCTGGGATTGAGCCCGCTTCGGGCTCTCTGCTCATTGGGGAGCCTGCTTCCCCCTCTCTCTCTGCCTGCCTCTCTGCCTACTTGTGATCTCTGTCTGTCAAATAAATAAGTAAAATCTTAAAAAAAAAAAAAAAACCAAAATAATTAAATTAGATCTCAGACTAAACTAGCTTTGGAGACTGTTTCCAGTTACTAAATTGAATGTAAGGACCCTGCTAATTTCTCTCAATTCCCTCCAAAACCCAAGAGGAAGACAGAAAAGTGAATAAATGGTCAGCTTTTAAAATGAAGACATTGGGGTACCTGGGTGGTTCAGTCTGTTAAGCATATGACTCTTAGTTTCAGCTCAGGTCATGATCTCAGGGTCATGATCTCAGAGTTCTGAGACCGAGAGCCCCCATTTTGGGCTCCCCACTCAGCAGGCAGTCTGCTTCCTCTCTCCCTCTGCCCCCGCCTCTGCTCATGCTCTCTCTAGCGTGGGCTCCTGCTCTCTCTTGCTATCTCAATCTCTCTCTCAAGTAAATAAATCTTTCCAAAAAAGATGCAGATACTTATTTTCAGTTACACTTTGAAAATTGTGTTTCTTTAGAGTTAGACTAGACAATAAATTCTCAAATTTTCACATTTTGGATATTTTTGTTTAAATAAAGTACATAAGGGACGCCTGGGTGGCTCAGTTGGTTAAGCAGCTGCCTTCGGCTCAGGTCATGATCCCAGCGTCCTGGGATCGAGTCCCACATCGGGCTCCTTGCTCATCGGGGAGCCTGCTTCTCCCTCTGCCTCTGCCTGCCATTCTGTCTGCCTGTGCTTGCTCTCTCTCCCTCTCTCTCTGACAAATAAATAAATAAAATCTTTAAAAAATAAATAAATAAATAAATAAATAAAATACATAATACATACATAATAAAATACATCTGCTCAGTAGGAAAAGAAATTATTTTCACAAGTAGACTTAAAACCAAGGCAAGTAAACTTAATAAGGAAGATGGAAAGCTTAGACCAATTCCTGTATATAAAGATTATTTCATATATAATCCTTACCTTAGATGGTAGAAAGAAGATAAATGTGAAACTAATCAATACACCTGAGGCCCACAGGCACAGTTCCTTTCAAAAGCTTAAGAGAACCTACCAGAACCATTTAACAAGATACCTGAATAAATGAAGCGCAGAATGTCCGACAAACAAGAACAGAAGAGGGCGTCTTTGACAACGACACGTAATGGCGGGTTGCCTGGAGAGTCCTGGCTAGCACCTGGAAATGCAGGGTCTCTGTTGATAGCAAAGAGGTCCTGGGTAGTTCGGATGATACTGGAATCCTGAATGTCAGCGGGACTCTTCACATTGAAAAGGAGCATGAAAACATGGCTTACGGCACACAGAACAATCTTGTGGGCCTCGGCAACTTCCTTTAAATCTGGGTTGTAAAATACTACATCCACACACTGGCAGCAGAACAGCAAATTATTTAAATCAGAGTTATAATGTGATGCTTCAGCCTTTAAGACAGGCATTTTTTCTGTTTCAAAAAAGAAAATAAAAGTGATAAATTCTTCTTTAGGTCTATAGACCTGGATATTTCAGGTTTCTTTTAAACACAAGAGTATTTTCTTAATGTTATTAAGTTGAACCATATAAAATTGCCAATACTTGACCATTTGTGACCCTATGAAAACAGCAATTTTGTATAACCTAATCTAATTATAAACACATATAAATTAATTATCCTGAGATAACAGTCACAGAATTACACAGTATTTTTTTTAGCGAAAATGAAAATTGTACTAATGCCATTAACAGCAATATAATACTACTGCTCACTTTTTGTTGTCCCCAAATAAAATCTCTCTCCAAATATTACATTTTAGTATGTTGGTAGTTATAGTTCCTTACTTTCACCTGATAAAAATTCAAATAAATTACTGAACAAGTTCTGAAGAACCTAACCTCACATTTGAAGTCACTTTCTTCCTGGGTTTGGAAATGGAGGGGGGAAGAAATTGTTAGAATTAAATTGTTAAAACTGTAATCCCTCAAAGCCAGGGCTCTGAGTCTTGGGACTCCATTGTTGGAAACCATCTTGACCATTTTATTTTGATCCTAAAATTAATATTGTTTTTTTCCTCTTAGTAAAACAAATACCAGTCTTTCCCCTCAGCACACCTTAGGTAGAGTGTTGGTTAGACTCCCTAATTTTCAAAAAAGGATGCAACCTTCCATTTCCTAGTTTGATCACTAACAAAGATAAATTAGCCCTCAGTTAAGTCAGAATATCCCCACAGAGGATCATACCCTAGGCCCTCATCATAGACCCTAACTGTAAAATATCTACTGGCTAGCTTTATCCCAAACTGAGCTGAGGAAAGTAGAATTCAACCTTGAATTCAGTAGAAGTCAAATTGCTTTAGGAATGAAAACTCTTTACTCTAAAGCAAAACTCTGGTCTCTAGAACTGATAATAACAAGGTGCTCTGGTGGCTAGGCTTTTCCTGAACTATACCCCCACTCACCCTTCCCTCCAATGCCGAAGGCATCTCACAGACCCTTAATGGCTTAAGAACAATCTGGAAGCCACATGCCCCAGAGACCAGCATGTATCCTTAGAACAAATGAGCACCAGAACAAATGTTCAGAGTGATACCTAACAGAAGGGCACAGGGTACCACCTGTGAGAATGAAAACTGCATTTGCTGACCAGACACTTTGGAAAGGCCTGTCCATTAGGTCACCTAGTGCCCCAAGTGGAACCCACATGAGAAACTTTTCCTACTGCTAAATGGCATGAACAGCTTTGTTTTCTCAGAGGTACTATTGTGTTTTCTCTTCTTGAATAGTAAGAACCAAGAAATTATCTATCTTCGTTGTTTATTTGGCTATTCCTCACACATCTTCTCATCTAGAAAGTACTTAAAGCAGCAGGCTTGCTATATAACAGACCAAGTCTCCCCTCTTCCTTTGCACACCAGGAAGTTCAAAGCCAAATTGTGTATCATCACTTAGGATCTATCTGCATTTAAAAAAACAACAACCTGGAATTGACTTCCCATACTAACTTATGTTTTCCTCTTTTTAATTTATATTGATTTATTTAACAAGTGCTTATAAAGTACCTACATTTTAAAACCATTTCCATAATAAATTGGTCTGCATACAGTACTACTATATTTCTATGACATAATTATTCAAAAATTTTGATAAAAGTTAATTTTGATAGAATGGTATTTATGTTTTTTAACTTTATTTTCCACTAACCTTGGGTTGTGAACATTTTCAAACATTCAAAAAGTTGAAAGAATAATACAATAAGCACACACATATCCTTCACCTGGATTCTACAATTAACATTTTATGTTTGCCTTATCTCTAGCTAGATACACAGGCACACACTTATCACTCTGAACCACTTAAAAGTAGGTTGTAATCATCAAGATATTTCAGCTCTAAATAATGTCGTGTTCATTTCCAAGGAATAAGGACATTCTCCCATTAATCACAGAACCATTACCATATACACAAAAAATTAACAATTCCCTCATATCATCTAATTTCCAGTCCATATTAAAATTTTACCCAGTTGTCTTAAGAAGGTCTTTGAGATGTTTTTATTGAACCAGGTAAGGTTCATGCATTGCATTTGGTTGTTATTTCTCTTAGACTTTTATATAGGATAGCTCTTCACCATAGAAATTATTTTTTAAAGAAGCTATAGACTCGAGTTTAAGACGGTATTCCTTAAAATGGGTCTAAGTACCACCTGCTTCAGAATCACCTGGAGACTTATTTTAAAATCAGATTCTACACCCCACCCCAGATTTACTGAATGAGAATGTCAGGTGAGTCCTCAATGTACTCAAATTTGGGAACAACTGCTCTAAGACTTGTGAAGTGATCTATAACAAATATCAGTTAAATGTCTAGACATTGGTTAATAAATGCACCTGGTTGTTCAAGCTGAGGTGGTCTAATTCCATGAAATGAGTTGCTCATTTTCCTTTTCTTCATTTTTTCACTTGTCTTCTGATTTAAGGCTTGAATCATAAAATACTCCAACTAAAACATGAATTGAATTTTAATTAAAGCTTCAACAAAATTATGTCTCTGACAAGATTACTGGTACCCCAAATCACATTTGCCAAATGTTTTTAATGCCAGTATCATCTACATGTAAGCTTTAGCAAACACTTCTAAATAATTTTTTATTTAAAAAATGTATTAAGTTGGGGCGCCTGGGTGGCTCAGTGGGCTAAGCCGCTGCCTTCGGCTCAGGTCATGATCTCAGGGTCCTGGGATCGAGTCCCGCATCGGGCTCTCTGCTCAGCAGGGAGCCTGCTTCCCTCTCTCTCTCTCTCTGCCAGCCTCTCTGTCTACTTGTGATCTCTCTCTGTCAAATAAATAAATAAAATCTTTAAAAAAAATTTTTAAAAATGTATTAAGTAGAACAGACTGTGACTTGTCTAAGCATAAATAAACTATTCATTCAAAAAGGAACTGTTTATTCTCTTGAATAATCAAGAAAGCCCAGCAGTGCAACTATGTGACTATCAATAACTATCTTGTGGGCAACCATAGCAGTTAATACTAGAGAAACTCAGGGCAGGACAGATCTGGCTGTATGTCACAGATGCTCATATCAACTAGGAGTGTTTGCACGTGCTCTATTTTTTTCTTGAATAAATTTCATTGAAATACATCCTTTATGTAATAAATTAAAAATCTTGGGGCACCTGGCTGGCTCAGTCGGTAGAGCATACAACTCTTGATCTTGGGGTTGTAAGTTCGAGCCCCACATTAGGTGTGAAGATTACTTTAAAATAAAACCTCAGGGGTGCCTGTGTGGCTCAGTGGGTTAAGCATCTACCTTCGGCTCAGGTCATGATCTCAGGTTCTGGGATCCAGCCCCACATCAGGCTGGTTCTCTTTCTCCCTGCTCACCCCCACCCCCCGCCATGCTTTCTTTTGCTATTCCTCTCTCAATAAATAAAATCTTTTAAAAAATAAAAATAAAAATAAATAAAATCTTTAAAAAATCCTAACCACATGCACTTACACAGTACCAGGCCTATGCCTTATGCTGTAAGGCTTGGGGCAAAAGAATAGATAGAGGTCTATGTATCACATACACAAATATTCAAACTTTGTAAATCAAGAAAACAAACTATTATGTAGAAGCCAGGCTTAGCTTTAAATTCTCAGCCTTCTCAGAGCTTCATGTAGCACAGGGAGAACTGGCGCCTAACTCCTGGGCCCCAACACTGCCCCTTCTCTTCTCACCCCCTGCTCCAGCCCATGCCTTGAGGAGCTTTATGTGTACATGAAGACTCTACTCTCCCCTTCCCCAGTCCTCATATGCAGTCATCCTTTGGCCACTCTTCAGACCTAGGGACACACACACTACTAATGCAATTCACCTTCAGGAGGACTGACCCAGGAAAAAGGCCTGCACAGGCCTGAGAAACAGCCTGAGTGTCGCCGGTCAGAGACTTCTGGGGTCCTGGGTTTTGGAATACATTTGTAGCACTGTACAATGGAACCTTCTGTTCTGTGTTGATGAAAATGCTCTGTATATCCGTGCTATTGAAGAGAGTAGGCACAAGCCACGTGTGGCTATTAAACACCTGAGATGTGGGTAGTACATCTGAGGAACTGAACTTTCTTCAGTTAATTTAAACACAAATAGCGGCCTGTGGCTAGTGACCGCCATCATGGATGGCGCAGGTCTAGAACGGCTACTAGCTCCAAGGGGGCGTACACTCTTGGCTCCATCAACTTGTATAATGGGGGTGCAACTGGAGGAGGACCAGATGGGGCTCTCTTGAGCTAAAGGGCCCACACCCCTCTTGCCCAGGTCTTCATCTCTGACCCTTAAACACAAGACTTTAAATGCTCCTTGCACTCTGACATTATCATCTCCATCTATATTCCTGCAAATGCCACTAATTCTTACACTCAAGATCAAAGCTATACTTAACTATTCAACAATCCCATAAGGGATCATTCTGATCTTATTTCCATATTCTCACCAAGTCTTAGGGAAAAAAGAAACTGCCGTGTCTTTCTTCCAATCCTTGACCACATCTTCAATCCTTATCAAGTGTCCAACTCTAACTGCAACACCAAGTGTTAGGAACAAAGAGAAACAAGGGGGAGGAAGCAGAAGCAAGCAGAGAAAAGTGGGAGTTGGCAGGTGGGAAGAGTGACCCTGAGATTTCAGGTTCAGGAAGTGGAGCAGGGAACAAGACCACCTCACCCCAAGAGAACCAGCCCCCTCCTCTCCAACAAATGAAGCCAAACTATCATTTTTCCTCAGTTTCCTAAATATTTCAGGGAAATGCAAGATTCTTAGACTAAATTAAGATTTTTTAAAAATTAAATATAATTTTTTAAAAAAATTATATTTAAAAATATAATGTCTTTGACAGGAAAATTACATTTCAGTCCTCTCTACCTTTCTACCCTTTCTACTTTTTTATTTATCACTATTAAAAAAAAGACAAAAGTTTCTCACAGTTATTATGATACCAATATTGTGAGTATATCTTCCTTAATGCTATATTATTAATGTTTCTTTTCATTACTGGGCTATATAATAGCCATGATATACATGACAGAAATCAGAACCATTTATATTTGGGTTTTATTTTATCTTTGGTTCTTATTTGGAGCTTGGTAACTGTCCAGAACAAATGAAATTTCTACAGTCATCTGTGGAGACCTCAACATTTTGACATGAATCTACATAATGAATATTCTAGTATAATGGAAAGTGTACTTGACAAAGAGCCAGGGAACTAATGGAGAAGTTCAAAGTGCTCCTGCTTAATGCAGAGTTTACTTTGGTGTAAACCTCTTATCCATGTTTACCAAATTTGTCCTTGAGTGGAGTCACTTCTTACAGCGTTGAAAAGGTAGCTCCAAAGTGAGTTAATACTTACATGATAAAACTCCACAGTATTTCCCAAGGACCATGCAGTCCGAATAGTGTAGGGTAGGGGCTGTGTGCTAAGACAGGCCTCAAAATGCCTGTAGGACCCAATAAATGCCATAGCTACAGACCAAGCAAATTCCAAATGTATTTTTTTAAGATTTATTTATTTACTTGAGAGACAGAGAGCATATGAACGCAAGCAGGGAAAGAGGCACAAGGAGAGGGAGAGGAGAGAAGCAGTCTCCCTGGTGAGTGGAGGCTGAGGGCTCGATCTCATGACCCTGAGATCATAACCTGAGCAGAAATCAAGAGTCCAACACTTAATCAACTAGGCCACCTAGACGGCCCAACAAGCTATTTGTAGGAGTAGTTGCTATGGATACTTCTGAGTGGAATCATTTAGGAGTATACAAAATCTTGCCAAAACACACATCGAGGAAGAAAAATCATTCTTTTCAAATAATAGATAGAAATGAAGGCGAACTTGCATGGCCCAGTGGTTCAGGTTGCAAGGCTCATTGAACTATACAAAGATTAGGAATAAAACTGGCATCACAGATTTGCGTAAGTAAGTATAGTTTTGATATGTTCAACAAAAAACAACAGTATCACCAAATGGAAAATTCTAAACTATCCTGTTAGACAATAGAAAATGCTTCATTTGGAGAGAAAAATAAAATTATAATTTTATTCTGACAAAGTCTTACTTCTACTCTCAGTTTGTTTCTCAAAGTTAAGACCAATCATGCTTTTAAAACTAAAGTTCTAATTGAGGGTCTAGAAAATAGCTACCACAGCCAGCCTGACAAATGACTTTAATTTATGTAACAGGGATTACCACTCACCACTCCTCCAAAATATTTTCCTATATAGAAGTCATCAAGGCTGTGTAGTTCAAGATAGGTAGCTCCCAGTTCTTTAGCAAGTTGGATTCCTTCAGTGGTACTGACACAGCTCCCTCTGTCTGAGGTACATAGCGGGCATGTACAAGGTAATTCTTCTGAGGAGAGAAATAGGAGTAACAAAGAGCTTTGAAATTTAACAGGAAAAGAAATATACACAGACAACCTGAACATTCAACAACAAATTAACAATTCATACAAGAACCATAGTTCAGGGGCATGTAGTATGTCCACTATCCACCAGACTCTGAATAAAAAGCATCAGTGTTAATAGAAAGGTCTTTCAAGCAAACAAACTTTGAGTGCAAGAAGAATAAAGAGTATTTTAGAAAACATAAGAACTTAAAAATAAGTTAATATATATTACCAAGGTTTTTATAGTAATTAAACCAACCAGCTAGTAATGGAGGACATGTTTCCCTTTATACACCCCTGACATCCTGAGTATCAATACAAATTAACAACATAATTGCCCATAGAAACCATGGAAAACAGTGGGTTAGCTTTTTATTCTTTTCTTTTTTCTTTTCCTTCCTTCCTTCTACCCTTTCTTCCTTCCTTTTTTTTTTTATAAACTTGAAATACATTCACCAAGTTGACTAGATCTGAATCCTCAAGGCTGCAAAATTTTGTAGATTTCATATGAAGTACATTCTTATTAATCCAGACATTTCAATTATTAGACTCTAAAGTATTCAACTGCAGAAACCAAACTGAATCACTTATCTTTCTCTTCAAGACTAAAAAATCATAAACTAAAGGAATAAAAAGTATGTGATAAAAAAATGTGAACTGTCCTAAACATCATGGTTGTACTGTGTACAGATGCATGGCTGGGCAGGTGAGAGACCAACATACCTATTAGGACACTCCTCAATAAAGTTAAAAATTTATGTTCAACTCTAGATTCAGCAGAAAGCTTTGTTTTGTTTCATGACACATCAGATATATCATTGTTTAAATGGCAGCCAAATTAAACAGGGATAAATCCATTTTTAGAAATGCATGTTGTTATAGTTTCCCTGGGAAGCAAACGCTGAAGTGAAGACTGGAGTGCAGGAGGTTTACTGAGGAAGTGATCGTGGGAACAAATGTTTTCAGGGGTGAGGGAAGTGGGACTGCGCAGAGGAAAAATCAAACTGCCATATAGCTATAACAAAGATCTTAGCAGATCTTACTGGGGGGTCTGGAGCTTTGATGGCCTTTTAGAATGGTTCCCCATTTGGGGAAAGGCAGCTGTGTCTTTGTGCCCCTTCATCGATCAAGATAATCAGTGGTTAGATGAGGGCTGCTGTGGAGGGGGCAGAACCTTGAGCAAGCAGCTTCTATGAGCTAAAGGTAATACCCGGCAAGGGACTCCGCCGTGCACCATGAGCACCCAACAGTCTGGTAACTGAGAGAGTAAGTACAGTGGCCCTCAAAGGGCATTTGTGGGGCACCTTCATGGCTCTGTCAGTTAAGCAGCTGACTTGATTTCGGCTCAGGTCATGATCTCAAGGTCGTGAGATCAAGCCCTCAGCGTGTGTTCTGTTTAAGATTCTTCCCCCTTCCCTTGCCCTCTGCTTTTCCCTCTCCTCTCTCTAAAATAAACAAATAAAATCTAAAAAAAAAAAGTTAAGCTCAGGTTCTCAAAATTAAGCCATGAATTTCGAGTTTTTGCTTTTACTTTTTCCAAGATCATCTTGGTTTGGAGCACATAAAGTTTTTGTACAGAATTTAGCCTATCTTGAAAAATAACACATTGGTATTTCGCATTCTTTACAAAAATTCATAAACAGTGCCTTTGGTTTTCTGAAGACAGAGGCCTTCTTATGCCTACAAAGCTCTCCTTATGTTGATGGGATGGGGTGAGAAGGCAGTCCATCTTATTAAGCTGTATTTCTTTTTTTTTTTTTTTTTTATTTAAGTTTTATTTTTTTTAAACATATAATATCTTTTTATCCCCAGGGGTACAGGTCTGTGAATCGCCAGGTTTACACACTTCACAGCACTCTTAAGCTGTATTTCTAAACAAAAATAAAGCAAAGTGTTTCAAGTGAAAAATTAAATGAACATAATGTAAAACAATTTTTAAGAAATAATCTTGATTTGAAGGAAAATCCAACTAATTTCAGGTTCAACCCTGCTAAGCATGGTTTTCCACTATGTGTAACCATGGCCCTTTACGGACATACACGCCTAGAAAATCCCTCTTCACATCTAGTCTTCACATCTCTGTGACACAGAAGACATTGCTTTTTGTTCACATGTACCCAAGAGGAAAAAAAAAAATGTCTCGTCATTATGTGGTGGATATAGCAGGAAAAGCAACAAAACACTTTTAGAAAAAAATAAACATGTATTATGCATTTCACCAGCAACCATAAAAGGACTCAAAATATTTTAAATTGCGGTGCCTTCTTCAGGATATCACTTCTGTGAGCCCACCTCAGGGTCACAGCGACTCTGGACATCAGTGTTACACTTCTAGTTAACACTGTAGTCTTTTTTCTTTCTCTTATGTGATACCTTTTAAGGTGTTATCACAAATGTCTATTTTTTTTTTTTTTCTAAAGCAAACACGTTGTAACTCTGGAATTCAAATGAATGGTATCTCTTTCAAAGCAGTGGTTTTCAGAATCTGTAGGGTGATTCTTACAATGTTGCGAAGTGCTTGAAAGTTTTAGAAATCCTTTTAAGAATTCTAGCCTAGGGATGTACTCAACTCTATCAGAACTTCAAAAAGAAAAGAAGAAAGGATGCCCATTTTGGGGATCTTAAGGCTATAAATACCCCTAGGTGTGTTCAGAGAAAAAAATTCTCTTTTAAAGACGGGTTCAATATTTAGTAAAAGCCAAAAATTTGTTCAAAGCAGAATGTGATGAAGAAGACATACAAGTCAAGCTTGTCAAAACATATGTAACAAAGGAAAATGATGAGACTGATTGTGTTTGCTGAACTAATCTAAAAAGAGCTAAAGAGAGAGGAATTATCAGGAGAACACACAGCACAGCTTCATGTATTACAAGGGACTGGGGAAGGGAAGCAATAAAAATCCTCGGGTTGAATAACAGATTTAGCTTGGTAATTAATTTGCAATCACATCTATATGTGAAATGAATTTCATCTTGTTTAAAACCATTCAACCACTAACTGAACAAATGTTTCTTGAGTACCTACCACGTATCAAACAAGAAATATACATAGATAAAAGCTCATAGTCAACTAAGCCAACATAGACATGACTGAAAATTATAATATAATAAATATAATAAATACTAAAATAAGGTATGCAAAATGGGAACATTTTGCATACCTTATTTTAGAACAGAAGGGAAGGGAACAGAAGGGAAGAAATTAACTCTGCCTGGGGATTATGGAAGACTTCACAGAAAAGGTAGTGATTTACTGGATAGGTATGAATTTGCCATGCTGATATGACAGGAGTTGTGCAGGGCTGGGCACTCCCATCAGAGGGCATAGCACATGAAGAGGTCTGGATGTAAGAAAAAACAACAACACATTAGCTTCCAGTTTCGAAATGGCAAGCTAAGCCCACATTGCAACTCTTCTCCCTGTCAAATCAAAGAAATGATTGAACAAAGAGGGGAAGGAGAGGGGAGGGAGAAGGGAGGAGAGAGAAATGAAAGGAAGGAAGAAAGGGAGGGGACGGGGAAGGAGGAAGGGAGGTGTGCATATACAGCAAGGCTCAAAAATTAAGAGGAGAGAAACTCATCACCCAGAAAGGAGGAGTGCCTAAAGGCTGAAGGCAGATAGCACAGGACCAAAGAGGGAAGCTGAAGCTCAGAGGACAGGTGGGAAGTCACACACTGGGCAACATCAAGAATACTCACTGCTCAATCATGGGGGAGCAATAAGGAGGCCCATGGACAACTGAGTGGAGATCAGTTGCAGACCCCTGTGGAAGCAGCAAGGCTTACAGATCTCATATGAGCTCTCACTCCCACCCCAACCTCAGAGAGCAGCTGGGCAGAGGAGGAGAAAGGCGTTAATCCAACAGAGAATCTAAACTGCAAACTAGGCAATTTAAGAATTACCCAACATTTAAGAAGCCTCCATACTATGAAATAAAATGTCATTAAATGACAAGACTTAGACTGTCCTCCTTAAGGCAAGATTTAATAGACCTACCAAAATAGAATCTTAAAATAAATATAATTAGTTGAGAGAGGTTTTCTTCTTAAAGTATACATGTTTAAAACAGGTAGAAGAAATTATGAAAAACAACCAGCTAGAGATCTTGGATATGAAAAGCTGTGGGAATTTTTTAAAGCATAATAAAGCAAAAGAGTAGGACAGACCCTGTGGAAGTGATTTGTGAGTTGGGAAAAGAAGACCACAGAATTCTCCTCTAACACAACACAGAGAAAGAAAGCTTAGGAAATATAAAAGAAAGATAGAAGAAACAGAGGAGAGATCCAGAAGTTTCAACATCAGTCTAATAAGAGTCCAAAAAGGACAGAATAGAAAAAATGGGGGGAAGGTGATATCTGAAGAAATCATGAAGTTGAGACGTCCCCAGATCTAAAGACAGACATTAAGTTAAAGGAGTTCAGTGTGTCGGGTACATAAGATACAAAAGACTGTGCCTACAAGGTTGCAAAAGTAGTCAGGAGATAGATCATGAATGATCATGACTTTTAGGTAAAGCATTACATGAGAAAATTACTGAAGGGAGATACAATACTGGATTGGAAAAAGTATCAACGGGAACTCATGATTAAAAGACATATATTTAACATATCTATATATCTATGTATCTATCTCCAATGAATGGGCCTTGAAGCAATGACAAAGTTATGAGCACCCCTAAAGCCCCGATCTTAGTTTCTTAATGTCATTGCTCACTAAATGGAACCAGGTCTCCCTGAAGAAATGACTGATCGATTCCAGGTGAGCCTGGGACATCTTATGCCATAAAATAAAGAAACACTCAAAAACTAATTGGAACTAGATTGAAAAGACTCCCTCCATGCAAATTTGGAGTAATATGAGCAACAGAAAGGATAAGGATAAGAACAGATTATAAAATATTGAATTTAAAAAACAAATCCATGAATTATAATGATTCTAAAAGAAACGTGGGAGCAGAGAGAAGGATAAGCTCTATTTACAGAAGAATACCAACTATAAGTGTAGGTGGAATGATGGAAAATCACTATTTTGCAACCACTACAACTAAAGGAATTATGCAGAATAATGGGCTTAGATTCTTTAAAAATGTCAGTGTCATGAAAGACCGGAGGGGGGGGGCGGGGGAAGGCTGGGGAACTGTTCTAGATTAAAAGAGACCGGAGAGGGTGCCTGGGTGGCTCAGTGGGTTAAGCCGCTGCCTTCGGCTCAGGTCATGGTCTCGGGGTCCTGGGATCGAGTCCCGCATCGGGCTCTCTGCTCAGCAGGGAGCCTGCTTCCCTCTCTCTCTCTCTCTCTGCCTGCCTCTCTGTCTACTTGTGGTCTCTCCCTGTCAAATAAATAAATAAAATCTTTAAAAAAAAAAAAAAAGAGAGAGACCGGAGAGATATTAGAGACACATCACATTTATTTATTTATTTATTTATTTATTTATTTATTTATTTATTTATTTTTAAAGATTTTATTTATTTATTTGACAGAAAGAGATCACATGTAGGCAGACATGCAGGAAGAGAGAGAGGGAAGCAGACTCCCCGCAGAGCAGAGAGCCCGATGCGGGGCTCGATCCCAGGACCCTGAGATCATGACCTGAGCCGAAGGCAGAGGCTTTAACCCACTGAGCCACCCAGGCGCCCTGAGACACATTACATTTAAATGCAATGTGTAGTCCTTAATTTCTGGATTAAAAAAAAATAGCTTTGGAACAATTGGGAAAATGTGAATGTGGGTTATGTTTAAAATAATAGGATCATAGATAATAGTATGTCACATATCTTGAATGATGGTTGGATTATGGTTGATAGGAATATGGTTCTGTCTTAGACAATACATGTTTAAGTAATTAGCACTGAAGAAATACCATAATTTTATAATTCACTCCCAAATAAAAAAAGAGAGAGTCTCTCTCTTTGTGTGTGTGTGTGTGTGTGTGTGTGTGTGTGTGTGTGTGTGTATAATCTCTGGGGTTCACTGTTCTGGTCAATTTTCTTGGGTTTGAAATTTTGCAAATAGAAGGGGAAAAGAAGTAAGTTTCTAAAGAATTGAAAGCATTGACTATCATGATCTGACCTATATTCTAGGATGATTATTCTGAGTGGATTTATTTCAAAAAGAAGCAAAGATGGAACAGGAGACCATAGGTCAATTCACCACAAAGCTGATGAAGCCTAAGTGTCAGGGCCCTTGTGTGTGAGTCTTTTCCAAAGCCTTGGGAGAAACACAGTCATATGCTTTTGTAAGATTTGCAAAATACGATCCTCTAACTATACTTGGTTAAGACCACTGCCTCTTTCCACTCCAACTCACTTTTATGTCAGGCAGTCTGGGAGTAATGACAGGCATTTTTGGGATCCTGCTAATGTGAATTTAAGTTTAGGTTTAGTGAGATATTATTTGTGGTTTGCAGTCACTTCCTTGTACAGTTAAATGTTTGAGAACTGTCCTGGTACACGAATAGCCTTGAGGAATGCTTCTGCCACCTACATTGTAGACTTGTTTGGTGTTGTGAAACAAAGATGCCAGGCTGAAAGAGGAACACAACACAAACGACAGTGCCTGTCACCAGAAACATAAGAAGTGTGAAGAAATACACTGGAAGAAACACTATAATTTTCTTCTCTATATAGAAAATAGCAAAAGTGGTTATCATATGAAGAAGTAATCAAAGATTATGCAGCCAACAAATATAAGAAAAATTAAAGAAATGTCAAGCTGTTAAATAATAGAAATATTTTTTTAAATGTTTATGGTATTTGACAGCTTTTTTAAAAAGATTCTATTTAGTTATTTGACAGAGATCACAAGTAGGCAGAGAGACAGGCAGAGAGAGAGGAGGAAGCAGGCTCCCTGCTGAGCAGAGAGCCCGATGTGGGGCTCGATCCCAGGACTCTGGGATCATGACCTGAGCCAAAGGCAGAGGCTCTAACCCACTGAGCCACCCAGGCGCCTGGTATTTCACAGCTTTTTATTTATTTTCTTTTTCTATTTAAATTCAAGTAGCCAACACATAGTGCATCAGTAGTTTCAGATACAGTATTCAATAGTTCATCAGTTGTGTATAACACCCAGTGCTCATCACAGCACATGCCCTCCTTAATGCCCATCACCCAATTACCCCATCCCCTTACCCTCCTCCCCTCCAGCAACCCTTTTTGTTTCCTATGGTTAAGTCTCTCATGGTTTTTCTCCCTCTCTGATGACTTCCCATTTAGTTTTCCCTCCCTTTCCCTACAATCCTCTGTGCTGTTTCTTATATTCTACATATGAGTGAAATCATATAATTGTCTTTCTCTGATTGACTTATTTCGCTCAGCATAACAGCCTCCAGTTCCACCTATATCAATGTAAATGGTAAGTATTCATCTTTTCTGATGGCTGAGTTATATTCCATTGTATATACATACCACATCTTCTTTATCCATCCATCTGTTGATGGACTTCTTGGCTCTTTCCACAGTTTGGCTATTATGGACATTGCTGCTATGAACACCGGGGTGCAGGTGCTCCTCTGAATCACTACATTTATATCTTTAGGGTAAATACCTCGTAGTGCAATTGCTGGGTCACAGGGTAGCTCTATTTTTAACTTCTTGAGGAACCTCCATACCCTTTTCCAGAGTAGCTGCACCAGCTTGCATTTCCACCAACACTGTAAGAAGGTTTCCCCTTCTCTGCATCCTTACCAACATTTGTTGTTTCCTGTCTTGCTAATTTTAGCCATTCTGACTGGTGTAACATAGCATTTCATTGTGGTTTTATTTGATAGCTTTTTAGATTTGCAAATTGTCATGCTTATTTGTGTGTGTGTGTGTGTGTGTGTGTGTGTATCTGTAATGTTGGTTTTTTTTTCCCTTACAAAGGACCTCTAGAACTCTGTAAGTTTCAGATCCTACAAAATCAGGAACTGCCCCTTTAAGCCAAAAGGAAGGTTACTATGACAGATAATTGAATGACTAGGATCTAAAATCCAATGAAGATAAAGGGAAAGCAATGAATTTGAGGTTTATTTGAAATGTGAAACCAAAAGAGCTTCTAGTGCACTAGATATGGGGAATGGGAGGAAAGTTGGGTTGGATGATTCTAGTAGGGGTGAATGGATAGGTTTGACATCATTCACCAAGACATGGAATTCAGCAGAAAGGGGAAGATTTTGTGGTAACACAGGTTGGAAGAGAAACTAAAGCTGGAGAAAGAGACTGGGTATTCACCAGTGACTACACAGGGAAAGGGAGAACAGGAGATTAACAGATTCAAAATAGCAAAGAAGTTGGTGAAGCCAAAGGATGGAACCCTGGCAACAACTAAGGATGCAGTGCTTCAATATGTGTATGGGGGAGGGGGTGTTGACCAGTAACAAGACAGAGAATGGGAACAACCATGAAAGAAAGAGTAGCTTTTTTAAATGGAGGAAGAGATGTGTTCAAATAACCTCAAAGGGCGAATTGTTATTAAAATATAAGTTAAAGTGTAAATTAAATGGAAAGGGAAATCAAATTTGGCAAGAAGCATTTAACTGGTAACCTTGAGTGAGAACAAATACAATGTAATTGTGAAAGTCAAAGTCAGACTAGAGTAGACTGAAGAATAAATGGGAAGTCAGGAAGTGGACTCAGGAAGTGTGGATGACTCTTTCAAGAATCAAGGCCAGTAATAAAAAGAAACACAGGGGAGTAGAGGGGATGTGGGGTCAAGGAAGGGTCAAGCCCACTTTATTTGTGTCTTCTAATATACCTACCCTATGACTATGACCCAAAATCCTATTCCTATTGAAACAACCATGAAAAGGAGAATGAATAAATGTAGTACAGCACATTGACACAAATGAAAAATACACAGCAAAATAACAAATTGTAGACAAGCACAACAGAGATGAATGTCAGTATTATGCTAATTGAAATTAGACACAAGATACTACATACAGTATAATTCCAAGTATGTAAATTTCTAGAATAGATAGAACTAATTTATATGGTGAGAAGTCAGAACAGTGGTCATCTCCAGGGAAGGGGGGCTAGTGACTGGGAAGAGGCATGAGAGAGCCTTCCAAAGTGAGGCAAATGTTCTCTATCTTGACCTGTAAGATGGCTGCAGGGAGGTATATATATTTAAAAATGCATTAAGCTGCACTCATGGTACCTCGTGAACTCTATGTCCTTTCCTTTGCTGTACCTTAATGAAAAGGGAAAAAAAAAAAAAAAAGAATAAAATTTCCAAGCCAGCTTCACTGAGGAAACACCACTAAAGAGAACTATCAAAATACCACCAAATCAAAGTGACTTCTGTGTCGGCCCGAGGATATCTGACAACGATATGCATAGCAGCAATGGCAGGAACGGACTGAACCAACTGAATCCATCAGCCATGGAGGAAATGAGCCCCTCTCTCAGGCAGGAGTGTCAGTGTCTCCACCTCACTCGTTCCTAGCTATGTAAAAATCCTGCTCCCGAGCCCAATCCTTTTGCAGACCATCTATCCTTCCCACCGGACAGGCCTTTAGAATGTCGAAAAGAGTCTTCCAGAGCTCAGCACCAGCCTAATACCTCTCTTAGATCAAAAGAACACAATCACTGACTTCCTTCACTTCTGTAAAAGAGCAATTTAGAAGACAAATTTGTACCCATCAGAATCCCAGCAGTCGTCTGTGACACTTTCCTTTGATGTCTCACTATCATACCCAATGATGAAGAGATAACAGCTGGCATTTGAACACAGTCATCTTTTTCCAAAAAAAAAACCCCATATCAATCATTAATAAACTTAACACTATTTAAAATTAGTGTGGTACCTGCACTCTTATCATAAGAAAAAAAAATTAGATACTTACCATTTTGTCTGGTACCAACAGCGGCAATGATGACTGGAACTGAATTTAATGACCTTTTTATCACTGGGATATAATTATCCTTTACTTCGTGGAATGAGAACTTGTCATTTACGTTGTATTTGATCACAATGATGTCGGCACTCCCGATTAGGTTTCTAGAGGTATACCAATCACTGTCAAAAATGTCCTAAACCAAAATGCAAAGAGCACTCGTTAGTCTACTTGTCTTCAAATCAGTCATGAAATAAAATGGGACACACACCATTTTTTTGCTGTAGTTTAATTTTTGGAATTCGTAAGAAGAATTGATTTTTAAATAAGTAATTACCTAAAATAAAAATGTCTGAAGCCTACCAACTCTTCTATTTTTGTGTATTCATTTAGCCTAGACCACAGTGTAGTTGTTGTACTATAAAGGAAACCTAGAGAATTACTGAGAGTACAAACAAGCACTTTGTTTTCAAATTATGTCATACTTTTATCACCTAATAATTTTGAAAAATTTTTTTAACATTTTTATTTATTTCTTTGAGATAGAGCAAGAGCAAGGAGGACAGGCAGAAGGAGAGGGATAAGCAGGCTCTCCCCTGAGCAGGAATCCCAATGTGGGGCTTGATACCAGGACCCTGAGATCATGACCTGAGCTGAAGGCAGAGACTTAACCAACTGAGCCACCCAGGCACTCCTAATTTTGAAAATTTTAACACCACAGCCTTAGATGCCAGAGCATCAGTATGAGTAAGGAAGCTTCAAAGGATTTTCTGTGACCCAATTAGAAACTGCAGGATTGTTCAGTGTTTTAAACTGCAATACACTGTGAATTCTGTGGAGTTGCACATATTATATACATATTTTCAAAATGTATGTATACTTTTCAACTTTATCCAACGCTTTGGACAGTAGTGTATACATATAGTGTATATGTATGCGAAGGGATGTATGTTTCATAAAAAGACACTGTATATTATAAAGTGTGAACATTGTAATGAACCAATTTTTCAATTTGTGTATTTAGCTTATATAAATTAAAAATTCAGGATAAGTCTTTCAATTTTAAAATTTTTACTTCTGGACTACAATTAATAACATTTATATTTAGAATCAGGGCCAAAAGTAATTTATTATGAAGCCTAATCTTTAAAAGCTTTGGTATTTTAAAAGTATTTTTTCAAAGTTTCTATGTGAATAGTAGCATAAGAAAAATATGTATCTTAATATTGCTAAATATGCATTAGTAGGTTTCTTCTCATATTCTAGTTAATTACTAATCATTATTTGTCATTTCATGCAGCCTTTGGTATGTATTTCCAGGATATATTAAAGCTAGATTAAGAAAACAGTTAGATGTGGCTAAAAGGTCTAAAAACTGCTGGGCTATGAAAGTTCACACTTTGAAATATGAGTCCAAAACAGGATAATAATGCTGGAATGAGTCAATCAAGAGCCATGTGACAGAGCTTCTACTGTATGATGGAAAGTTCTAGAGAAGTGTTACACAGCAATCCCCTTTTGCAAAGAGAGCTGCTTCTCACCAGTACTTCCACAGTGTCTAGCAAAGCCTCTCCCAATTCCCTACATCCACCCCAATCCACCCACTTCCTAGAATTACACTCAGAGTAACAAGAACAGCAAGATTTTTAGATATAACTACCCTACTGAAAACAGGAGCATTTAAAAAGGAAAAATAAAAGGACCAAAAAAGAAAAATAGGCAAACTACAGGAATATAAACGCCAAAGGCAGTCTTGAACTTGAACTCAGCCAGGGGAGAAGTGAAGTGGGACACATATCAAGAAAATGTGAAAGCTTCCCAGCAGAGCTCTACCCTAATTTCCAAATCCCAAACCACAAATCCATTCGGTTCCAATTGTATCTGTTGTAATATCCAAGCTCAAAGTATACATGCATAAGAAGGGTACACAAGTACAACAAAGAAAAAGAACAAAGTCAGATGAATGGAATAAAAAACAAAAACTAAACAGAGGTGGGACCAACATTAAACAGCCATTTAACTCTGAGAGAACAAATCAAAAGTAACTACTCTTTGCATTCCGAACAGTTTAAAATTCCAGAGTAACTAGAGAGGTGTACTGGGAGGAAAGGAGACATTTAGAGGAAAATATCATGAGAAAATGGGTGTTGGCAACATTATCACTGTTGTACTGAGGATATTAAAACTAAAAATAATTTTGTTTTTAACACAAATCAGAGTTTCAAATCCTGCACAAGAAAACTGTGCACACATTACCTCACTGCTTTTTGTGGAATATTTTTGGTAAATAGGAAAAGATCTAGAAATAAAATAATGTAACTCCACAAAAAAAGGGAGGGTGGGCTTGAGAGAGACATAATAATAATGAACTACATAAAATGAATTTGAGACACATTTATGTTAAAAGTGTCAAGTATACACAGCAAGGATCCAGAGTGAGGCTACAGATCTACAGAAGAAACTAGAAAAGAGAAGCAAAACTATCTCATTCTGATTCCAAGGAGGAACGAACACCACATTTCTAATCAAGCTATGTCAAAGAGAAAATGCTCTCCTGGTTTCTAGAAATACGAAGGAAATAAAATTCTCCCACCCCTTGTAAATCAGTTCCAGGATTTCCTCTGGGAGGTTATGCAATGCAACACTTGGAGCCACATTGGGAGAAGGGAACTCATCTTTTTAAAAATAATCTAAAATTTTAGAGCAAAACAACAATTTTATTCCACTTGCTGGCACTGCAAATACAGCACCTACTAAGTACCAGCACTGCTACCTCAATGTATTGTATTTGTGTAAATCTTGAATGATGTGTAGGAACACTTTACTTTGCTTAGTATAAGGGATACATGGTTAGACTGATGTTGTAATAAACATTTATTCTAGAGTAGCTACCACCTGGACAACCTACTAGAGCATGTCAGTTTCTATCTTAAGAACTTTACATGTATCATCTCATCTACTCTTCAGCACAGCTCTAGGAGCCAGGGAGTCTTTAGGAGGCAGGGAGTCTTATTTTATACATAGGGAAAAATAAGGCTAAGAGAAGATAGTGATTCACCAGAAAAAACCACTAAGCAGCAATGTGGGGGTCTGAAATCAGGTCCTTTTGCTATCAAAACCTGTGCTCTATCTGCTTTGCTATACTGAATATTCTGTTCTGGTACACGTCAAGTATTAGCTGATAAACACAATCAACCTGAGTATCTCTGAAGGACTTTTACTTACCACCAAGAAAAGAAAAGCACCTTATAAAGAGAAGGTTTACAAATCTATTCCCTTACATTTGAAGATCATTATAACCCCAAAAAGTGTACCAAAACTCAATGCTTTAAACAGGACCAGAGTCTAAACAAACAAAATGTGGTTAGTCCAATAAAGCACAATAATCAGTATATGGCAAAAATCTAGACTACAGGGGCTTATTTTAATCCTTTGGAAAATTTCATTTACTACAGTACCTGGCATCATAAGTATTGTTTTTTGCTAAATTAACAACATGAACAGTAAAGAGTTAACAGCTTGAAGAAAAAACAGGAAAAGTAATCCTAACATCCTAATTCAGCTTATTTTATTTTCCTTAAATTTATTTACTCTATTCACTCCACGTTTGTTCAACTGCGTGTAAAACCGGTAAGTTTTTAAATTGTACCATCTTTCACAATGAAATGACCAAAGTAAAAGAAGTGTTTCACTTGTTTGTATGGACTCCAGCCAGTAAGTTCCTTACCGATGCTTCTTGTGATTGGCATCGTCACTGTGATAAATGGGAGTTTAAACCTGGTTATTGAAAAAAAACCTGTTTTATTTATTTTAGCCCATTAACATAAATATCCTTTAACTGAAAATTTCCTTGAGCTAATGATCTTTTCATCCTGTAATTTGCATAAGTAATTTTTCTAGGCACATTCCATACATTCCTTTAGAAAGGTGTATTAGTTCCCTATAGCACACAATTCAGGTTTTTACAATTGATGTTTAAACATAAAATCTCACATGATAATTTGTATTATTTTTCAGACACTAAAGCTTTCATCTTTTATAAAATATAATCTTCAGCTTTAGTCATACTATTTTAACTCCAATACCAGTATAGAATCAGAAATTTTCAAATAAAATTAAATGAAAACATTAAAATAACTACTGTTCTTGTGTATTACATTATAATTATTATATTATAATGTACTGAAAATATGTATGTGTCAGAGAGTAGATTTCTTTCTCCTTTTATCAAGCACTCAAGAATCAGACTAGAATTTTATCGACTTCATTACAATTTCTTTTAATTATTACAAATTTTAAAGCTTTATAAAAATTCCAAGCAGTATCATTATTTCTGATTTATGAGTCACTGAAAACAAATGGCTACTATATTAAGAACATCTGCATTATTAAAATTAAAAACAAGAATTAAATTTTTCAAAAGTGGATAGTATTATAAATGAGTGGTTTAAAATTAATTATCAGTCCCTCTCTCTTTCTCTCCTTTCCAGGGGTCCTATTCCTGAACTGTCCCAGTGAAATTTATTTTTGCTTGTGTTGAGCTTTCAGAGGACTTTATTTTTAGAACACTAATATTACACTCTCACCCACAGGGTAGGCATGAAAAAACATTGCTCTCTGCTGGTGAAACTTAGTGACCCCGTCCCTTGGGGATGTCACATTCAACTGCCAGCTACCAAGGGACAACCTACAGTCCTGAAGCCTATGAGTAAGTGCTCCATGTTGCCACTGGGACTTTTTGCCTTCTAAGAGTGTTCTCTGACCGGGCTGCCCCCTGCCTAATGAAACAAAGGAAAATAAAGATTTCCCCCCAAATGTTTAAAAACTCTACGCAGGTGACCCAGACGGTCCACAGCATGAAAGGGGGGAAAGGGAGAGGAAGAGGGAAAAAAAAAATGAAAGAAAATCTCCGTCAGCATCGACACCGAGCAGCTGCCACCCCTTACCCAGACGGGACAGTCGTGGACCACCAGCTTGACATTGCCGAAAGCGCTGGCCTGATACTCGGTGAACACCGGACGTGCGACCGTGCTGGTCGCGTTCAGCAACAAGCTGCTTTCGTCCCCCGAGACCAGCGGGCTTCTCCCCAGGTAAGTGCGGATGAGCCCCGACGGCCGATTGTCCTGGTGAAACGCGTCCCCCTCGTTCCCCAGCGCCACGATGTGAATGGACCTACACGACAGAGAGGGGCGAGGGGGAGAGAGGCGCGTGGTCAGCGCGAGGATCACTTTAATCCGAACAGGAAGGGCGGGGGGCAGCGCGCGGCGAGGATGAGCAAGAGCCCCTCGCGCTGGGGCGCACGACACGCGTTGGGGTAGAGACAATGGCAGGACCGCGACGCGTACGTACATGATCTCAAATCCAAGGGCAGGGCGGCGATTCGGAGAAAAGCTGCTCCTCGCGGCCTCTCGGGGCCAGGCGGCGGCGTATTTACCCGCAATCAGCTCATCCCCGGCCGCGTCCCCCTCGCGCGCCTCCACCGCGACGCGGCCGACGCAGAGAGGGCCCGCGCGAGCGAGCGAGCGACTAGGGGGCCGGGGACGTGCGAGTCGGGCCGTGTGCGCGCTGCCAACCAGTCAGGAAGTGCCCGGGAACATCCCGAGCGGCCCGCCGCTCTCCGCCTCCCGGCAGCCGCCGCCGCCGCCGCCGCCGCCGCCGCTAAGAGTGGCCAGGAGCCCCGGCGCTGCAGCCCCCTCTCCGCCGCGCTCTCTGGGCAGGGCAGCTGTCGCCTCCTGCTGCTGCTGCTCCTCCTTCTGGCCGACAGTGGCTTAGGAAAAAAGCCGGGGCCTCCGCCCCCTCGGCCGGCCTGGCGGGCGGGCGTAGCACGTGCTGGCCTTGAGGGTCGGGCGGACGCGGGGGCGCGCTCCCGCCGGGGCCCCCAAGCCCAGGCAGCGGAGGCCCGATACAAAGGGCCAGCCCGCACAGGGCCCAGCGGAATATAAATTAATAAATACAACGTCCAAGCCTGAGAGCTCCTGATCGCCAATCCGCCTGCAGCAAGTTTGTTCAACTCGAAAGGCTGTAACCAGAGCCAGGGAAAGGGGGGTGGGGCGGTGAGGCCCCCGCTCCCTAAAGACTGGGGAAAAAAGAGGTTAGGGAGGCTAGGCATTCAAGCCCGTTGGCCGCTCCGGCAGCCCAATTTTTTTTCCCCCTCTTGGCTTTGACGGAAAGTGTTTTACCATGTCTGCCTCTTTGTCATTTGTCAACATGCACTACAGCTGTTTTCTAAAATCATACTTGTGAGGAAAAAATAAAGGCAACATTCATGCTGGTGCAGAAAGGGATCTTTGTTCACACACCAATTAATTTGCTAATATCGCTTTTGAGGGATTATTTACTATTTCAAGCTATATTTGGCATATTTTACCAAAAACTGCAAGGTTTTTTTGTTTTAAGTGCTGGGGTTCTTTTTGTGATAGTTTTCAAAAGAAGTTACGTGTGAGGTGTTTACAAGCTAAATGCTCGTTTACTTGGAGATCTTTCAGTACACATAATGGCTACACATTTAATAATAGCTTCTTAGAACAACTGAAATAATAACGATCATGCTAATGCAAGGATACTTCAGATTCTTTCATGATAATGCACTAATGTAAAGGTTATGAAGGTCTCTAAATGGCCTCGAACTACCTTAATGCAAATGAACACTGGAATCCACTAACACCAAGAAGAAGGGCCAGAGGTTACTGTAGGACTCAGCTTCTCCATAAACATAAAAATCCTCACAAGTGCTCTGTGTTTTAAGAGTCCTTATTTATCCTTTCCCTTATTTATTTTGCCCTACTTTAAAATTTCTTTTCTCAAAAGAGCTATTTTGAGGGCATGAGGTACTGAAGAGGTACTGAGGTGCTGAGTAGGGCAGTGACAAGACTAGGGTAAGAGGCCTTTGGAATGTGAACAGCTTTTTATTATGGGCCCTTGCTGCTCAGTTGGAAGCAGTATAATATAGTTTCTCATGCTCATAGGTGATGACAAGAGGCATTCATTCTGTAGTCACTGATTTTTTTTTTAATCTAGTTTCCCTTGCACTAAGTATAATTTCTCCTTTAGTCTCTAGAACATAAACCATCCTGAAATATTTAAGAGTTTAGGATCACCTTTTCTCTTGGTCAATAGAAAATATATTTTCCCCCTCTAGTAATCAAGCACAGGTCAAAAAGACAGACACTAACAATGAATGGATAAAGAAAATGTGGTATGTACCTACAATGAAACATTTGGACTTGAAAAAGAAGGAAATCCTGTCATCTGTTACAACATGAATGAATCTTGAGGGTATTATGCTAAGTGAAATGTCAGTCACAAAAAGACAAATACTGCATTATTCCACTTACATCAGGTATCTAAGCTAGTCAAATTCTTAGAAACAGAAAGAATTGTGTTTACCAGGGACTGGGGGTAGGAGGAAATGGAGAGTTGTTCAACGAGCAGAGTTTCAGTTTTGCAAGATGAAGAAGTTCTAGAGATCTATTGCAAACAAGACGCATATAGTTAACACTACTGTAATGCACACTTAAATATGGTGAAGATGATACATTTTATATGTTTTTGCCACAATATGAAAAGGGGGGGATTGGAAACTGGCAGGAAGAGAGCATTCATTTTTCTCCTCTGTTACTGAGTATGTGAGCCAGGCCTGTGCTAGGCAGGCATGGGAGATACTAAGATACATAAGACACAAGTGTTAACCTTGAGAAACTAAGTCTATAATTAAAGGTCACTATATTATAAATATTAATCACCCAATTCTTTGAAAACATACAGGTTCCTTTAAATAATTATAATACAGGCTCACACATGCAGTAATAGAGGTAGGTACAAAGTACAAGGATAAAGTTCAGTGAACATTAGGAAGAGATCTGTGCCTGTGTGTCATCAGAGAGAGGTTCATAGAGGAAGTAAACATTGTCTTGCGTCTTAAAGGATGAGAAGGAATTGCTAGATGTGGAAGAAGAGGAGGGAGGAGGAAAGGGAAAGAGTTTTAGAAAGAATGGACAGACATCATATGCAAATCACATGTAAAGGTGTAGAGACATGGAAGATCATGTCTTGTTCAGAAAACATCAAGAGTTGAAATTCATGCTGGGGTGCAGATGCCTTTATTACAACAAGCAAAAAAAGAGACTGATTTCCCGAGAGATTTCCAAAGTCAGACCTGATGATAATTATAGATTAGAAATTCATCTGTATATACAATAGAGCTCAGCTAGATGCTCACCAAACCCATCTTCTCTTCCAGGTAAACTAAACTACATAGCTAAACTACATTTCCATAGTTTTTACATGTAAATAGGGCCAGACAATTCATTTTTGGCAGTAGAGTATAATCCCCGTTGAACAGTTAAGGAAAGTATGCCTGCTCCACTCTCTTTTATCCCTCTTTCTGCTAACTGGAAGAAGCCAGGTTGATGTGGAAGCCATGTTTTTGAAATTGTTGGTCTGCAGCATGGAGGAAGGTTGGATTCCTGAACGACTGGTTATAGCAGAGCTGCCTCACAGCATACACTGACTTGAGACATGAGTGAGAAGATGGATCCTTATTGAGTTAAGCAGGACATTTTGTGGTCAATTATTACAGTAGCTAGTGTTACTTATCTTGGCTAATACAAGATCACAGATGGTCCATTTCCTGATACCTTAAAGATTCTTTTCAAAATTATCTTAATACTACTTTTTTATATTTATTTTCCTTTTATTTACAATGTTTATTTGGTTTATATATTTGTAGTTTCCCTCAGTAGCATTTAATAAAATATTTACTTCTACCAGGGTGTAACAAATTCGATTATCATTATGTTCTCCAATCTCAAGGTCACTGGGGAACACAAAAGCAAACACCTCTAGTCCAAACAATATGTTTTCCTATTTTCACAGCTGAAATGCCACTATTTTATATTCATTCTAATAGATGTTCTCATCCCCAGATAAAATGTAGCCACATATGTGTGTCAGGTATGTATGAGGTAACTCAATAAGTTATTACTGATCTCCAGATCATGAATATTAATATACCAGCCTTTGAAAAATATCTTGATTCCTTAATGACTAGAGAGGAAGCATAAGATTTTCCCAACTGTGTTTCATGGAAACTAGTTTTCCACCTGAGGAGGTTGGGGAGAAAGATGGATATCTAGAGAGGGCTGAGCACCACCTTCTCCCATCTCAAAGTCAATCAGACCATCGTTATTGTTACCTAATTTTTAAAAATACGTTAGTTTCATTTTCAGTAAAAAGAGGGTATTTCTAACATTTGAAAAACCCAAAATTCTAAAACACTTATCTAGAGCAAGGGTCTCCAAAGCGGGGTTCAGAAGATGAACACTGACATTTTAGAGTAAGTATTTGAACTTCTATGTATAAACACATATATTTTTTTACCAAAAAAGAGGGGAAGAAATTAAGCTTTACTCATATTGAATGTGAGGACTAACACCAGCATCCACTGCTCTGGGGAGAGGGGTGCTCTGGGGAGAGGGGGTGCTCTGGGGACAGGGGGAAAGCACAGCAGCACATAACAGGGGACGGGAGGGCCGTCTCCTTTGTTTGTTTTCAACATATTGCCACATGGTGCAATTTCTGTATCTAAGTGAATTTATTTATGATATTTATTTATTTTCAAAGATTTTATTTATTTAACAGAGACAGTGAGAGAGGGAATACGAGCAGGGGGAATGCGAGAGGGAGAAGCAGGCTTCCTGCTGAGCAGGGAGCCTGATGCAGGGCTTGATCCCAGGACTCTGGGATCATGAACTGAGCTGAAGGCAGATGCTTAAAGACTGAGCCACTCAGGCGCCCTATTTATGGTATTTAAGTAAACTAATTGTTACTGCATGGACCAATGGAGATAGTGTTCATAGTGCAAGAATAGGCAAACACAATTGACTGAGCTGACATTCCAGAAGCCCTTTGGAAGCTGCATTGCAAAGTAAAAACTAATGACTAATCAGATCTGGGACGCCTGGGTGGCTCAGTTGGTTAAGCAGCTGCCTTCGGCTCAGGTCATGATCCCAGCGTCCTGGGATCAAGTCCCACATCGGGCTCCTTGCTTGGCGGGGAGCCTGCTTCTCCCTCTGCATCTGCCTGCCATTCTGTCTGCCTGTGCTCGCTCTCTCTCCCTCTCTCTCTGACAAATAAATAAAATCTTTAAAAAAAAATGACTAATCAGATCTGATAAGGTGGCCATAATCACTGAAATTAGAAAGAACATTGTTTTAAATATGAATTTACACCTAATTTTACTGATTTTACCCTAAGTGCATATCAGGGTAATCAAGGTAATCAATGATGATATTCTGAATTGATTACAATTAGCTAGCCATTTAAAAACTAGGTATCCAAACATGAAGGCAAAACTCCACAATATCTCCAGCATATTTAGTAATGTACTATTTAAGCCAATATTTTAAAGAAAATTCATATATTATAAATGCTAAAAAGCCTCTTCTGAGCTTTCTTTTTTTTTATTTTTTATTTTTAAAGATTTTGTTTATTTATTTGTCAGAGAGAGAGAGAGAGAGAGAGCAAGCACAGGCAGACAGAGTGGCAGGCAGAGGCAGAGGAAGAAGCAGGCTCCCTGCCAAGCAAGGAGCCCGATGCAGGACTCGATCCCAGGATGCTGGGATCATGACCTG